TTTATCATTTTCTGAGCCCATTTCATTTCACTGTTAACCAGTTCGCGTCGCAGGACGTGATAACACGTACTCGCTTTTTTTTTATACACAGGCACGGCTGACAGGTTAAGATACCAAGATTGCCTCGACTCGCCTCCGGGTGACGTCTATTTATTTCTGTCAAGGGTCAAAACCTTTACTGAGCCAACTTTTTCCTAGCTAAGATTGCTGACTGCAGTGGTTTGTTATGCAAAGGTAAGACGGGCAGTCGGCGATATGCGACGTCGTGAAGAGCTTTTGTGTGGAAAGAGGTGGTGGCCATGTTGAAGGCAGTGGGCCATGATGAGGGGTTAACTTTAACAATGAGAGTGGTTAAATCACTATGTCAAAATTGCATTGTTTCAAAGAAAAGGATGTCTTCTTTCTTTAAATGAAGCTGTAGTGACATGTACATGTGTATATAATTAAGTGTTTGTTCTTTTAGCTCCAACAGGCGTTCCATACAAATAAGTATGTTAATAAGTTTTGGTTGCCATAGGCACCGGAGTTCACTCTCGCTGTGCTGCGTTTGCGCAGTGTGACATGTTGGTGACCTTTCACTTATCGTTTTCATTCTGCTTTGTGCAAGTCTTATTCCAACGTTGAAAGTTTCCTCAACCAAGTTTTATTCAGTCAATTGATGTGTGCTTAAACCTACTGACTTTCCAGAAGTTTGTTAATCATTGGATAGCAGGTGCATGACGAACTTGTGAGTTTTGAGAGCATTAAAACTTGTAAACAACCAACATTTTGTGTGCCGTTTTCACGACTTGTAAGAACAGACACGAGGCTTGATAAACAGTAGTAGAACTCATTTCGGGAGAAAACACGAATTACTACAAAGCCGTTCCTCATGCCCAGAATTCCAGTTACCCTTTTGCACAAACTTGGCCCAGTACAGGTTATGACCCTTGATGAATAACAACAAATGCTCAGTCATCTGTTGCCACAGACGCACAGTCAAGGTGTCATTGGAAAGAGGACGCATTGGTGTTTCAAGTGATGTTTAACTTATTTGAAAATATTTTTAATTTTTTTTTATAATTTACATTTTACATCTGGGTTTCCTTTTTTCTTTTCTACACCCTGTATAATTCAAGAATAAAGTATTCCAGTAAAGAGCACTCATCACGCACTGCTGAGGCAGAATTCACTACAAATAAAATTGTCAATGATGATGCAACAAAACATATTGGGCCATAGCATTAGCGCATCAATGTACTTGGGGGGGGGGCAAGTTGTAATCCCACCCCACCCCCGATCCGCCATTGCAGATTGGGATATTAAAGCTCTTACAGAAACATTTAAATTGGCAAATGGATGATTGGGCTGAATCCACAAAAAAACATCTTACCTTTGCATTTGATTGACTCTGGAGCTAGGACTGGTGCCTTGGCCATTACTAGAGAGTAAGCATCCTCGAATGATATCATTGGGTAAGGTGATGACCTGGGACGTCTTGCTACTTTGCTTATATCATGATGGTGGTCTGGGTACAAGACATGCAAGAAGTTCATAATATTTCAAACATCAAAAATAAAAAAAAAACACTGTATTTACGAAACCATCTCCAATTTTTGCCTTCCAATATGGCTTGTTCTATAAGTTTGGGATCCCCCTTTTTCCCTGTGTCTATTACATCCGACATCTAAGATTGTATAGTTCTGATGTACAGGTACTCCTTATAATGCAGTCATCCTCCAAGAGCGATACATGAAAGGTCAATTACAAAGTACCAAGGTAACAGGGACAGGTAAAAGGGGCACACTTTGAACCCTAAATTCATAGAATGACACATATGCACCATTTATCACTGCATGATTGACTGTCTGCTTATCCAAGAAAAATATAATACAGGTATTTAAAGTTATAGTCCATCATTTGTAATTTGTGCATTTTGTTCATTTGAAGCAACAAAAGTGCTCAAAATCTAAAGAAGGGTACTGAACAACTAACCTGATAAAGTTTGAGGTCAGCTTCAGCTGTATATTCTGAGAAAAACAGCATTCTAGGATCTCAATTTCAAATCAAAAGTTGCTGAATCATGTTTTGAATTGCGCCTGAATTCAGCGTCCGAGACACGTTCTCGCTGAGCCGAATGCAGCTACGCGATGTCGCGCACTGATCTGATGAATTATAGCAACCGGGGGTGCGTGTGCGTCGTGCCAATGCTTGCGCGCGCTTCGCCGAATAACAAAACGAACTACTAATTTAAATTTTCCTACGGTGCGTCTTAAGAAGCACCGTTGGAAAGGCCTTCTTTCGTTGATTACTTCAAAATGATAGCATGCCAGAAAGATTAATTTCACAGGGAGTTTAGTCCCCTTACTATCTTTCAACCAAGTATGTTTTTCAACAATAATTACGCCAGCTACTTTTCGGATAGCTGCAAATGGTGGACTATAGCTTTAATGTTCTGTCATGTGGGAACAAGTGACTATCAACAATCTTTCTAGGGAGAGGGAAAGGTAGACTTGTAAGGAGAGTCAGAAGGTATCATTAGCATTCACAAGTCAACCATAACTAACCCTACCCCCTTGAGTGACTTACTAGGAACCCTTCTCACTCTTGCAAAATGTAACACCATATCGTCACGTCAGTGCAACAAGGTCGTATCTCCTAAAATGGCATGAACGAAGCAAAACGCAAGTTTTACAATGTCAAAAGGTCGTATCTCGCTTAAAATAACCCGGATGTACACACAAAGTCAATGGACGTCGAGATATGACCTTGTTGTACAGAGCGTATTCGCGCGAGATACGACTTTGTTGCAGAATGGAGTTACGACCTTGTTGCACTGACGCGCCGATATGGTAAACGTAGCATCAAAACTGTTGGACTTTAATTAGGGTGGTATGCCTGATCCCATATATAATCAGTCATTTAGTGCTGTACTCCAACAGATTCCAACAGAAGAGAAAGCTTGTGGTAACACCGTGTGAATAATACCTCTTTTTGAGTTGTGTGGTTCTGCAAAGAACCACTTGTTTTAACTCAGCTTCCGATGACGAACAGGGTACACTCTTCGAAACGTTGAGGTTAAAACAACTGGTTCTTCTAAGAACCACACAACTCAAAAAGGGATATTATTCAAATGGTGTTACCGCAAGCTTTGCATTCTATTTAACCACTCATCCCCCAATCCCCGAGTCTTCAAAACAAACCCATGACCTGATACTACATTGGGGAAAGACAACATTCTCCCCAAAAAAGGAAGCTCAGCCACCTGAGCACAAGGGACATACTTTGTGGACAAATCACATCAAGTTGTGAATGTTTTTGCGGCATTAAAGTCAAACTTTCTTACCTGGCATGTCAGGAATATCATGATGGTGGGGACACTGCAAATCAATGTTCACAAAAAAACTTCAGAATAGTCTTTGAGGATGAATGAAGCGGATGAGTTGAACAGTAAATGCACTTAAATTTGCAGAATAAAAGTATCTTGAATCTGGGCGCAATCTGACTTAATTATTTTAGGTACGTAGGATTATTTACCTGGAAATGAACCTATTGGAGCCAATTTCATGGCGCTGCTTAACAGTTAGCAGAAAAGCTGTGCTAACTATAGCAGAAAATTGTGCCAACTTTAATAAGCACTATTTCATGGCTTGGATGTGCCAGGGTTGCCCAGCACATGTATGATTTTTATTGTTAAGTTGCTGTGGCTACTGCTGCTGATGGTCTCAATGAAATAGACGGAGGCTCTTTTAGAAGAAAATTGTGTGCTCATTCAAGCTGCATGTGCTAAAAGGTTCGTGTAAAGCGTGCTAGTTCCAACTTTTAATGTGCGCGCATCAAGTTTGCTTAAAGATAAATTTGTTAGCGAGCTCACCCTTGTGAAACACGGAAAATGTAGCGTGTCTGTGTCCCACACACCACGAGGCCAAAGACACAAACACACTACAATGCTGTTTGTTCCACTCGCGCTCTGTGGGACTGCACGAGCTATTTACAGTATCGCACAAGTTGAAGATGAGTGCCATAATGTTATAGCGAGTGCAATATATTCTTGTATCCCTTGACAAAAGCCAACATTATTATTATCTTTATCAGGCTCACTTGATCCAAAAGAAAAGAATTTCAGGACTCTGTCTTTATTTCTAAAATTTTGTTGAATATTCTTCACTAACTGAAGCAAATTTTGTGCCGCTCGAAGCTGCGATTGTAGATGTTGACAATAGGGCGCATATATTGTTCCCTGCTGCACGCTGTGTCCACGTTGGACAGTACCACACGTTACATTCTGTTGACTGGTTGACAACTATGAGTTTCTACGCTTAATTGTGCGAGAACAGGCAAAATTTGAAGACATTTCAAAAATGATATTACATTCATCTAATACTGCTTCCGATAACCTTATAATACTCTGATCTCTTTTTTTTAACGTGGAAGCCTGATTATAAATAAGAATCTAAAATAACGAACTTTTTGTTAGGTCAAGACGGATTACAAATTAGAGCTTTTTTCCAAATATCTGAGGAACATGTACATGAAACAAAATGGTCAGCAATGTAAATGCCATTGTTCACTGTTAGTCAGATTGATGCAAACAATTATTGCTCATTCAACGATAAACGCATGGAAGTTGGCACACAGTAAGAACAAGCCCTAGAGAAACCTTTCAATTATAGGGCCAACGCAGATTTGTACTTTTGTAAAAATAAAGGTAGAACATGCAACTTTCAAAATTTTCAAAATGGCTGCCATAACTTGTTATTCTACCTATTTTTTTTTCAAAGGACAAATCAGCGATGGCCCTAGAGCCAAATATCTTTCTCACGACAAACGCTGACTGTGTGCCAAATTCCATGCTTTTATCATCAAATAAACAATCCCATCACCTATCTGCCGTACTATGTGACATCTACAATGCTGTCAACTATACAACGGCATATTTCAGACAAAAATGTGGGAAGATGCCTTATGATTCATGAGTGTGGTTGTTATAAGAACCAGAGAACATTTATGAAATGCAAAAGTATGTTGCGGTTTATCTATTTTATTTATAGTATATATTGACTGCAATACATCATCACAAAATGAAAAATTTCATACACATAATTCAAAGATTTCTTAATTAACCCTAACCTTTCCAAATCCTCTTTGCAAAATGGAGGATTTTGCAGGATTGAGGCTACATGGCAAAAGTGTGTTGCTGATTTCGGAGGACACACTGTGTCAAGGTCTTGTGCCGGACCTTGTGTTGTTTAAGCTCAGCCGTGCACGAATTTAGGCCTAGGTTATACTTGAAATCCTCCGCACTGCTCCAGGATGCCACTGGCTCTGCTTCAACATATTGACAGTGACTGCTGGAGGATTTTGCAGGATTGAGGCAGTGGTCACCCCCTCCAAGGACCACATTCAAGAAATAATCAGAGTATTTTGCAGGATTGAGGCTGCATGCTATTTTTACATGTACATGGAGGCAGTTGGAGATTTTGCAGGATTGAGGTTACAATGTACATCGTCTATACTTTCTGAAGAATCCATGCATAGAGTACTTTGACGGTTTTGGGCGGTACAGTAAGAAATAGGCAAGGCGGTCTCAGTTGGTACTGGGACCAATGGGTTAATGGAGAGTTGTAAAAAAAGTACAGTAAAAAAAAAAAAAAAAAGAAACAATTAATTAATGCCACTTATACTGCCTCATGAAGTTAGACTTTAAAATGGGAACATTGTGGCTATTGCTAGGCCATGGCTTTTAAACCGTTTCATCTGATTTTCTTTGTTTTGGGTTTGTGAGCGGCGGTATCTTTCCCAGTCTGGGCCTTCATCATGAGTCTTTTTCTCCTTCGCACCGACTGGACGATTTTTCCCCTGTTCACAATCCTGCCCGCCATAGCGCCTTCATTCTGCAGCTTGTCATAGATCTCCTGAACAGGAAGCTCCCGATCAGCTTCTGTGAAGATCATGTCTCGCAGCTCCTCGTCAATTTGCCGCTTGGGGTTTGCTCGGCCGGGGCTCTGCCAAGTCACATCGCCCTCTGGAGGGACGTGTTGTCCAGTGATGGTGACCTTCCATGTTTGGAGGTCGGACAGGAAGAGTTTGAGGGTGACAAGGACAGAGCAGTTGTGACGGTCTTGTTTGTGTTGGGCGCCTTTGCAACCTTCATTGAAACAAGCCGACAAAACAAAAAGTTATAAGTTTGAAGGAAAGCTGAAGAGAGTCTACATATCGTCTTTTTGATATGAGATTCAATAATGCATGTGAACTTTAGCATGAAACACACTTTTCTCCACAAGATAGTGTATCATAACAAGAGAGGACGAAATAGTTGTTGGGTTTATGCCAAAATGGCAGCAGCACTGTACAACATTCTCCAGTTCTCACATCATAACTTGGCTTCTGACCTGCTACTGGGAATTCATTTAATTCAATTTTTTTTCATCAAACCGAGAATATATGAACTTGAAAATAGCTAGCCTAAATCCCTAGGGGGTGTGCAAAATCCTATTAAAAGTGGAGGATTCAGGACTGTTAGGGGCTACAAGTTTTCATCGAGATGATCTGGATCCAACATTAACTATCATTGTTGAGCACAAGTGTTTTTCTTACTCACTTTTGACACATTTTCCGTAGCTACCACACTGTCGCAGGCAGTTGCCCTCTCCTGAGCAAAACAGGTACCACGCTACAACATACTGGTCCCTCTTGCCATCTTTAATCCTCTTCCTCAACTGTTCTCCTTTCTCCGTCGCAACAAAGAGGTCGTCATAGCGGCAGCGCTCATTGACGAGGGTCTTCCGCTGCCAGCTCTGACAGGCCAACGCCTTCTCCTGGCGTTGCATCTTCACCAGGTCCTGCTTGACAGATCGCTTCCCTCGCCTGAGGTTCACATCTCGGAGCAGCTCTTGAGATGCCAGGAAGTTTCTCAGAGGCACCCCAACGGGGATGCTGTACTCCGTCCGATCTTTCTTGGATGTAGTCTTCTTTTTGGATGTCTTGGATTTGGAGGACTTCTTCGCCGCCTTCCGTTGCCGCTGTGATTTGCCGAATGGTCTTTGGAGGGCGTAGACCCTCTGTTTCTTGGTCCTGGGTTCGTCTGACTCCTGAGTTCTAGAATTGATGTCTGTTGGGTCAAACTCAAATACAATGTAGGTGCTGTTTGGGTTTCCATCTCCATCAGCTTCAATACCAGCAGACTTTGTTGCAGAGTCAGATTCCTCGATGATGGACCCGCAACTCTTCTCCACCTCATCTTCTGCCGAATGGTGCTCTCCCCTACAATGACGTTTAGGACATTTGTTCATTTTGATAACTCTCAAGTCAGAATCACCTGTGTCTTTACCATATGTGGTTGAAGAATCATACACGTAGCTATAATTGCTACTACTATCCTCATTTTCGTCATCATCATCAGCAACAAGATAATCATCATCATCATCCTGTTCACTAACATCGTTGTCTTCATTACCATCCTCGGTCCAGTTGTCATTATCTTTACCTTCAAGGCTCCCAGGCAGATTAGAACCATCACAAGTCGAACCATCAACATGGGATGTTGTTTCCTTCTTAACACCATCATCAGTGGTCTTTCCACTCTGACTATCTTGGTCCTTAAGACCCATCCCAAGCTCCTTAGGCTGATGAGTGGCACTGCTCTGCCCATCATCCATTTCACTGATGTGCTCAGACAACTCCTTCAGGATGCGACTGATCTGTTTGCCTGTTTCATCCCTCTGGGAAGGAGTCTCATCTTGATGCTGCGATGATGCCTCCATGATGACTGCTTCCTCTTGTGGAATGAGGACAATGCCTTGCACAACTTCAAGCTCTTCAAAACTCATCTCTTGGGGATCATGCATTTCTTGGTTTGGCACCTGCAAGTCTTGAGATGTTTGAAAAGCAACTCTGTGCTGGTTTGGATCCTTCACCATTGTCAGTGTTTTGGAGTTTTTCCCTCCTTTCTTCACAGGAGTTCGTGACGACAAGCGTAGCCTTCTTTTCTGAGGTAGAGACAGTTAAATGATGCATTGGCTCATGTTACTAATTTTTGTGCATGTAAACCCAGTCATGCAGGCACGACACATGCAGGCACGACACATCCTCCTCTAACCTTTTCAGACATCAATCAAACCCTAGCACTTGCATGAACTGGTCCAAAACTTGAGATGGCTTTTAAATTTTGATGGGGGTTATTAAAGTACTGAATGAAGATATAAAACCGTATATTAGGATTTTACAAATGTACATGGTGAGTAAATTTATGATGACGTTATCTGGAGAACAGAAAAGAATGGGTTTGATGGAATGTCTGAGGTGGTGGGTGGGGTGAGGTGTGTGGGTTATTTTCACCATGTTCTCATACATGAGTGGGAGCAGCGAACTAGCAGACAATCAGCTGTTTCGAGCACGCGACATACATGCGAGTTGACGTTCGATTGTCATGATTGTTGTGTTAACTGCTGTTTGTTTTCATGATTTTTACATCAAAATCCAAAGAATCAAGACAGAGGTATAACAACACAATTGTTGATGGTTCCCGAAGGGTTATATTTAGCAATTGGTGACTGCTGTGATGTGGGATATGACGTGTTGAACACCCTCGGGGCGCATAGCACCCTTGGCTTTGTCCTGGGTGTTCAAAACGTCATATCCCATATCACAGCAGTCACCAATTGTTAATATAACCCTTCAGGAACCATCAGCACTGTAATTGAGTCCATCACAAGTCCTTTCACAAGTCCTTTCACAAGTCCTTTCATAAAGCCAGTCACAAGTAACTGGATGAACAATGACAAAGGAATGCTTTTGTAACAGTTCATTTGAATAGCTAGTGACTTGACTTGAGACTGATCGGACTCGCAGGGACTCGAATACAACACTGGAAACCATGACAGGCACATAACACAGATGCTCACCTTGTGTCCGTGGCTTGCCGAGTGGTCATGTGACCCTTGTGATGATGTCATAGATTTGTGTGTTGCCTCGACTTCTTTGTTGTCTCCCCTAAGGAGTTGGATGGCATGACGTAGGCCAGGTAACACAAACTCATAGCATTCCTTGTCAAACAATTTAAACGGAATTAAAAAGGGCAACTTAAAAAAATAGAAGCTTATTCATCATCAGCATACAGTCAACTCTTGTTATAACAAACTCGTTCGGACCTAACCAAATTGTTTGTTATATCAGAATTTTGTATTAAGAGGAACATCAGTCCCATTCACTGTGCACATAAATGCACAGTCGGGACCAAGGCTTTGTTTGTTATAACCAGAATTTGTATTAACGGAGTTTGTACTAACGAGAGTCGACTGTATATTCCAAACAGTGGGTTTTTTTTAAAATAAATTTGAATTTTTTATGTGTAATTTGTCAAAGAGCATAACTCTTCCAAGTTTTGACATTAAAATACCTTTTTTGACAGAATATGTTGAAAGACTATGTACTGAGACATTTGAATTGTGAAAACCTTTACCATGTACAATGTGTAGCAGGGTTCGACCTTTGGGGTAGTCTGCTTGCCAAATGCTAGTAAAAAACAACGGACTAGTCAAAACCTTTCCCTATTAAAATAGTCCGCTTGGCGAGTCAAAATCATTGTAAAGCATTGTTGTTTATGACATTCTGGTGCAAAAATTTAAAAATTCTATTGCGGACTAGTGAAAAGGCCCGCGGACTAGATAAAAGTCTGTTTCAATAGTCCGGCTGGCTAGTGAAAGAAAAAGCTAAGGGCCAACCCTGGGTGGGCACTGACAGTTTTTTTTTTTTTAACTGGGTTATTTTATGAGTAACGCGTGTAAGAAATTGCCATTGTAATACATTCCAGATAGAATATGTCAATCCGCAACGTAGACACCTCAAAGTGTACACTACCCATGCTCTTTTACATTCATTTTTTTTATTCTTACAAATGTCTAATCCACATGTTTTATTTTAACTAGAACAAGTATTTTCCCATTTTGAACCTTTGCAATCCTCTGACAAAAAGGGATTTATTTTGAGTTGCTTGGGCTCCTCTTATGTACAAATGATATGTCTGAATCATTCTCGGTCTGCAAAAAGTGAATATCTTAGCATGGAAAGTTTTTAACATAAAAGAAGTGCACTTTTCAATAAAATTTACCAAAAAAGGGATGTCAAATGGTTTTCTTACATTTAAGAGTAAGGTTGCACAAAATGTGTTCCTAAGAAAAAAATCATCTCATGGACCATTTAACCAATTTATTGCTTAGCGTGGAACTCAAATATAGTACGGACAATAGATTAGAAACCATGTACGGTACAATGTGTTATCACATTTTTTTTCTGCTAGAAGCGCAAATTTTCTGCTAAATATTCAGCAGTACCATAAAATTTGCTCCATCATAACATTGTGAATTATGACAGCGTGTAGTGCCAGCGTATACCTACCTGGGATCCCTTCTTACTGCCAGGCAAGTTGATAATCAGGGAGTTCCTCCGGGTGCCACAGGCGGGTCTGCTCAGGAAATACAACAATTACAGTCAAACATATTACATACATTTGCTGGTGACTCACATTCCTGTGTATCATAACAAGAAAGCCGAAGACTTTTAAACTAGGGTGGGACTGTAGTAAAGTGGAACACTAAATAGGGTATTTAGGGACAGCATGTACTGCGTACTCTGCAACAAGTTAGGAATCTCAAGTTTGGTACAATCAGGTATTGAAAGTCCTGTTTTACAACTTCAAAGCACTTACAGGGTTCAACCTCATAATTACGTGTCACCAGTTTAAAACCAACCTGTTGAAATTGTAAAATGCAACTTTGGACTCAACACAAGTCCCCCCCCCCCAAAAAAAAAAACCCAAGTGAAAATAACAAAAAGGGGCCACTGTGTGCCATCGCTGTCTAACACGCTATCAAGTGCACATTTACTTGAGAACTATTCATGAGATGGAATTTGCGTCAGGGTGATGTAAATTCAATATCAGGTTTTGCCCTTCAACGACGTATAAACACTATACTCAGAGTGTTACCCCCCCCCCCCCAAGTTTAGTTTACTACATCAAATTCGAACCAGCCATCTCAGTGGCCGAGTGGTAAGATGTCTGCACTAGAAGGGCAACAAAAAAATTGTTCTGCTTCCGATTTACATGGGATTTGAAAATAGGGTAGGTAGGTAGGGAAATTTTTATTTTGTTTTGGCAATTTGTTTTGGTGTGCAATCCCATAGAGATGTGTGCATCTAGGGGCTGTCAAAATAGGGTAGGTAGGGTAACCTGAAGCAAAATTATTATTTGTTTTGGCCTAAGCAGGAGGTCTTGGGTTCGAGTCCCAGCCGAGTGATTTTTTTTCTCACTTTCATTCGGGGGGGGGGGGGGGGGGGGGCGCTTGGGCTTAGCACACTGAGTATACAGTGTTTATACGTCGGTGAAGGGATAAAACCTAATATTGAATGCTTGAGAACTGAAACAAGCTTAATGCCACATGTGCAAACATATGCGCGCATTATGTGACTCTCATAAGTGGACCATACAGTGCCATCTACATGTACAGTCAAAATATGTACAAAATAAAGCAAAATAACAAGTACTGTAATATACATGTATCTGCCACACATTAACAAAAAAGTCCACTCCACTTGGTGATGGTTGGTTTGTACTCAACATATTTGAGGACTAGATTCAGTTACTGATGCAGTAGAGATCACTAAGTTCTAAAAGGATGTGCATATGTATGTATGCTGCATTGTAGTTCATATGCAAAGTGATCAGTTCTCATGCCATTATGCACAATATGCAATGCCAAGTCCAGGAAAAAGACTTAACCAAAGATAGCATTACCAATTGAAAGAGACATAATCAGGTCTTGATACGGCATCTCATATATTACGTACCTTGAGAGCATGGCTAGTGGTGTTATTTGCAGAGATCCCATCAGCATGGACAGAGCCAGGCCTGGTGCCTCCTTCTCCAAGACAGCCTTGGTGGCCTGAAAAAGTTTGGTGAAATTTTCTTTTTACTCTAACCTCCTTAGATCCTTCGAAATCCATCGGGACGTTTTGGAAGATTTTCTACAGATTTAAGGAGGCTAGAGCCCAGCTATTTTCCTTTAACCCTAACCTTCTCAAATCCTCCAAAATCGTCTTTGAAAAGTGGAGGATTTTGAAGGATTGAGGCTATGGCAAAAATGTGTGGCTGATTTTGGAGGATGCACTGTGTCAAGGTCTTGGGCCAGACCTTGTGTTGTTTATGCTCAGCCTAGCTGTGCATAAATTTAGGCCTACATTATACTTGAAATCCTCCGCACTGCTCCAGGATGTTACTGGCTCTGCCTCAACATATTGACAGTGATTGCTGGAGGATTTTGCAGGATTGAGGCAGTGGTCACCCCTCCATGGACCACATTCAGGAAGAGTTTGCAGGATTGAGGCTATATGCAATTTTTACATGGAGGCTGTTGGAGGATTTTGCAGGACTGAGGTTGCATCCTAGCAAAAATGCCTAGGGAGTTAGGGTTCAATAAACTTGTTAACCTTTGATAGCTGAAGTGTTAAGAGTTTGGCTATGGTTTCCTGTAAAATGTGGTTGCTTTGGAATCAGGATGGTTCCCAACAAAGTCCAAGAAGTAAGGGTTAATCTGGTATAGGTTCCAAAATACAAAGCTCTTATTTCTTTCTGAAAAGTCTGAAAGGGAGCCACAGATATATATGTGATGTAACACAATTAAAATATTATGTCACATTCATGAGCAGGCAGTTGATCTTGACAATAAGAATAAGTTTCAATTGCATCGTTGCAATTGGTCGTTGGGAGTCTGCAGCTTCATATCATATATGAGCTTGTCTTTAATCCAATTGTAAAAAACAAGAAGAAATCCCTTAAAGTCTCACCTCCGGTGTAACATCCCTCGTGGCGAACCCAGTGCCACCTGTGGTAAGGATGAGATCCAGTTTCTCTTCATCGCACCAATTTATCAGGGCATCCTGGGGACAGATTGCAAATTACACATCAGAAATCTTCACACATTGTTTGCAGCATGCAAACCCAAAATCTACACTGGATTCAATATGGCCACATGTCATCTTGTAAACAAGTCCATCACCAATCAAATCATAATTCAGATCACAAGTCAAATCACAGGCCAATCGCACGTCAAATCACAATTTCAGGTCACAAGTTGTGGACAAAGGAATACCCTTGTTGCAGTTCATGTGACTTGATGCTGAGCTTCATGGACCTCGCTAGAGGGGTGTGGGGGTGCAATCCCCCCACCCCCAAGCCCTCCCCCATTAATAGTGTTTGTTGGCAAAATTGTGCGTCCGTTGGCAAATGTGCCTGCTTTAAAAGCCCCTATAGAAATATGGTGTCCAACCCACCCCCCCCCCTCATTTTTGCAGAGGGCGGGTATCTTGCAAAAAAAATCCTGACTACTTTCTAGCATGAATGATCTGTCAGCATTTGTTTTGGTCACACCAGCCCCCCCCCCCCTCCCCCCATTCAATGTGGTCTGGTGACGCTCCTGCTGAGCTTACACTGGACTTGAGACTGGACGACTTGTAATTGACTTGTGATCGTTGAGAGGACAGCACCAGAACTCAAACATGAAATTACTTAAGAAAAAAGTCAATTTTTTTTAATTGGAGTAAATTTGTGACTACCTTTTTTGGGGGAGGGGGATTGAAAAATGGCAGGTAAATTGTGCTATCTTCCTTTGCCGCACTGTGGCAAATATAGATCTCTCTCAAATGACGTCACTGCCTATGGATTGCCAAGTGCAGCAGCATTTGGGAGTCAAATTTTCGTGACGCAAATCGGCTGTGCCGTATTTCGAAGAAATTTTGAGCAACATGTGTGCGTGTTTAAAACATATTGCACACTGCCTGCACACATACCTGAAGCCGTTGAATATGCAGAAGTTTGTAATTTACCTACGAAGATGGCTGTCTATGAGAGGGGTCCATAGATACGATTGCATAAATTCGATTGCATACGAACTGCACAAATTTTAAACAATGCAAATCTAGCTTCTTATTGGGATGTGACTTGCAGGGCAAAATATGAGACAAATACCTGGATCTGAGAGTGTTCGTCAGCAACAATCTTGGTTTTCACAACTTGGCCGGCTAACCTGCAAGCAGTAGAAAAATGGATTAAGGATATTATATACTCCAAGAAGCCTCAACCGATTATAATGAAACTTCATTATCATAAGAAAGACTGCGATCTTAAATTATGAGGTTAGGGAATTCTAACTTTGGTTTCAACCATTTTAACACTGCACAGTGCACATTACTGTTTCTAGTGTGCTCTTTTGTCAGTGTGCCCCAACATGGTTGTCAACTGAAAGTGATCAAACAGACTTTTTAGCCAAAACACTTTTCTTTTTTGTACAAAAAGCGACAAAAACCATCACCAGGTGTTCATAGTAAGTCACATACATTTCGAAGTGAAATTTAGTACGGTATCCAATTTAAATTTGTGCTTCAATCACTTGAGCATACAAATGAGATTTTTCTATGTACAAAGCTGATTTCCATTGCAGCATTTAACTTTTGTAACATAAATATAGTTTATGGATTCTAGAAAAGCATTAGCTCTGAATTGTCACCTTTTTCCACAACTTATAACTTCGATTTCTGAGTATTCAAGAAATGGTCAAATTAACCAGTTCACGTCAGATGACGTGTATACACACAAAGGTTTTGCAGTATGACGGATAAACATGCAACGAGCGATGCCGGAAATATCTGTCTGTGACCCGCTCGCAGCAAGCGAGGCCTGAAATATCAGGGTGTGCTACCCGCAGATGAAAGCCTGAACCCGTCTAGCATCAAGGTTCGTGAAAAACAATCTCGTGCCTGGGTCCGGTCGTGTCAAAATAATCCCAGCGCGAACTGGTTAAAGTGTAACTATTAAGAATTATTCACTAACAACATTTCCATCAGTGATGTTCTTTACCCTTGTTCTTGCTCCACAATTGCCTTTAAGTTCGGACCACTGCTGTCTTCCTGTGTGCCTAGATAGCACCTGTCACTAACTAGGAGGGGGGGAAAAATGAAAAGTTGATTAGAGAATGCCACTTTTTGGCGATCGTATAGTGTGGGGCCCCTGTTTTGTTTTGATCAAATTAGAGTCACAAATGTTTCTTTTATTGCTTTTGATTGTAAGGCCAAAAAAAAAAAAATCGGTCTCTGGTCAGACCAAAGTTCCAGAATTGATGCGGCGACGCGGTTTTTTTTTTTTGGTGGCCTTTTGTTTTTTTTCAAGCTTGAACTGTACAGACAAGGTGGGTACTATTTTGCTTTTTTGTGTCCTCATTATACATTGGTGTCCTCCAAAATTTGCCTTGGTGCCCTTTATCATCTGCCTTGGTGCAATTTCCCCATTCCTTGGTGCTCTTTGGTACAAAAATTTGAGGAGGTGCGGCAATAGAGGGCGCTGTTGTAGCTTCCGTGTAAAAAAAAAAAGGTTGACGCGCATGATTAAAATCGATACGCGCGCGCTGACGAGAGACCCAGTATTTTTTTTTTTTGTCTTACAATCATAAGCAGACTTTTCTCAATTCTAATGACACCCGTTTTGCAATTTTGAACAGTTTCTTGGGGTAGAAATCACCATTTTCCTGCGCGGTTTGTGCCTTGCGATTCAGCGCGCCGTGCGTGCTCACGGTACATCGCACGGTGATCGCCATCTTTATTTTCGGGTTGCGTGTTGTCGCTGCGCTGTCATCGTCATTTTACCTCCAAATTTCCCCAAAAAAATCAAAACCCTGCCCTCTATCTAATGACATACCTGTTTATTGAGAATGTCACCAACTAGTTTTGGTTGGTCTAATAATTCTAAAGTGGATTTTGTTCCCTTATATAGGAACTGGGCCCTACACTACACGATCGCCCATTTTTTAGTCTGGATCGTACCAAGTTTCAAACAGTGATGACAATTTCCATGAATTGGCCTTCAAATTTTCAATAATATTTTCAAAACACTTCATAAATGTTTTATGCTTTCCAAGAGCAAATGATAAAACATTATGGGATAATTACTCAAAGTCTGACTTGAACTGTAGAGAGGCATTTTAAATACTTGTACTTGACTTTCACAATTTCCATTGTCAATAGCGGTAAGAACTGCTACCACTGACTGATGCTGAAAGATTACCCATCCAGTGCTGTTTGTCTTCTAGTTCTATAAAATTTAGGATTTCTAAACCCAGCGCATGCACAATTCTGGACACAAGGAATATGTAAGCGAAATTTCAGCTTCCTTCGTCAGGTAAAACTATGCAAAAATGTGTTATAAAATTTGTTTTGCTATGGCAGTATATTAGACTCCGTTGCGTGTACACAACGGAGTCCAACCCGGGCTCTACATAGGTGGCCACCGTCAGTAGAATGAGGCTATTGTTGTAATGCATTGATAGTGATACCTAGCCCAGGTTGGACGACGTGTACACAATGGAGTCCAACCTGGGCTAAGTGTAACTGTAGCCTATGTTGGACGACGTCTTCATTGCATTACGACTGACGTCCAGGGTATAAAATTCTACCACCATAGCGAAAAAAATTATAACATTTTTTTCATATTTTTACCTGACGGCTCAGGAAGCTGAAATTTCGCTTACATATTCCTTGTGTCCAGAATTGTGCCTGCGCTGGGTTTAGAAAAGGCAAATATGTCCGTAGGCGGAGTGTTTACCGAAAATAAACCGCAAGTTCTACGCTTTTGTTGAAAACATTTTCAGTACGAACTCCCCGCGTAAAGATGTACACACGCGTGCCGTTTGCTGCCGCTTGCTACCGTGGCGGAAGCGTGCTAGGTGTGCATGCACGCGTGCATGTAATCTTCACACGGGGAGTTTGTACTGAAAATGTTTTCGACGAAAGCATGGGAATTGGGATTGCGGTTTATTTTCAGTAAACACGCCGCCCGCGGACATATTTGCCTTTTCTAAACCCAGCGCAGGCACAATTCTGGACACAAGAAATATGTAGGGCCTAGGCCAAAGCGAAATTTCAGCTTCCTCCGTCAGACAAAAATATGCAAAAAATGTGTTATACTTATAATTTTTTTCGCTATGGCAGGAGAGATTCATAGCCTGGACTTCGTTGTGTGTACGTGTACACAACGGAGTCCAACCATGGAGGTAGAATTAGATACCTCCATGGTCCAACCTGGGCTAGGCTAAAGTGTAGCCCGACTGCATCTGACCGTACAGTACTACTATAGTACTGTAGTGTACGGCCAGATGCAGTCGGGCTAGGCTAAGTGAGTTACCAACTAGCCTAGTACGTATAGTCATCATACATGTCATAGCTCTTCTTTACCTGTCAAAATACCAACTTGTGGCGGCCTTTCAACGGCTCTACTCGCCATTTTCAAATGAGCTGAACACAAGCCTTCAGTCACACACAAAAATTCAACGTGTGAAGACTAAATGTGGGCCTAGCAGTAGCAAGAGGAGTGGCAACACAAGTGTACAAGCAGACGCGGCCGATCCGATGATCCGATCATATTTTTTCACATGCCGGCGGCCAGCCCGGGTCATTAGGGGTCACGTCACGTCGCGCGCGCCGCAAGTTGTTGTGGCGCGCTTTTTGTAAACCTTCACAACAGAATGTGACGTCTAGCTTCCGTAAATGTGGGGGCCAATTTTGGTGTCCCTCTTTACATTATTGCCGGTAAATAATGCCCTAGTAATTAACAACATTGAAGTATATACAAATGCAGGTGCGCGGTTCTAGAGCCCACATTTTGGGGGAGGGGCTAGCAGGGTGGATCCAAAAAGATTTCGGGGAGGGCGTGCGAAAAAGGTAGACCGGTTATTTTCTCCTGACACTTAGGTCTCCGAAAATCAATAGGTGGGGGTGGGGTTGCTCGTGCCATATTTTAAGTTGGGAGCGCTGATAAAAACCTACAATCAGGCACACTATATATAGGTTTTCCCAGCTATTTTAACACTTTTATCACACGAATTCCCTATATCGATACTTTAATTTCGTCCGCGAACATCCCCAAGCTCAATTCTCAATTTGAATTTCAAAAAGCCACCACTAGATTTCATTTAAGGTTCAGTATAATTCAAATTGTTAGCATTCCGATTCGTCCAAAATCTTTGAAATTCGTCTCGTGAAGCAATCGGCGTTGAATTGAAAAAGCAAATTCGTTTTTTGTCATTCGTTTTAATGTTCTTGTCGTTACATTTCGTCTCTGGTGACTTAAAACGTTACCATTAAAAATGTGCCCAAACTTTGGACTTGTTTGCGCATTAATTAAATTTCAATTTTTAACAAATATTTCCTTATAAATGAAAGTATAGCTGTAAGTTTTGAGTTTTCTTTGACAATTAACATTGAAATTAGAAATCGAACTTTCACAATATGCTCTTTGCTTTATAGCATATGGAAATTAAGCATCACGATCAAACACCTTCGTAATGTTGCTCTTTGATATATGTTTATGAATAAAACAACAGAAATAAGGTATGATGTCTATCAAAGAACAACATTAAGAAGGTCTTTGAACTTAATGCTTAGTGTCCATGTCATAAGTGCATATTGTGAAATGTCAATTCCTGACTCTAATGTTAATTGTGAAACTAAAAATTCATACCTTACAGCTAACTACTTTTGTTTATAGGCCTACATATAAGGAAATATATGTTGGATTATCATTGTTTTGATACGCATAATTCTTCAAATAAGTCTAAAGATTGGGCGCATTTTCTAATCTATACGATTTAAGTCACCAGGGACGAAATGTAATGACAACAACATTAAAACGAATGACAAAAAACGAATTTGCTTTGTCAATTCAACGCCGATTGCTTCACGAGACGAATTTCAAAGATTTTGGACGAATCGGAATGCTAACAATTTGAATTATACTGAACCTTAAATGAAATCTAGTGGTGGCTTTTTGAAATTCAAATTGAGAATTGAGCTTGGCGATGTTCGGGGACGAAATTAAAGTATCGATATAGGGAATTCGTGTGATACAAGTGTTAAAATAACCGGGAAAACCTATATTAACTAAAAGTGTACAAATGCATCCTTAAGTTCTCAGGACTATTTATTAAGGGGGAGGCCGTTCGCACGGACGTCACATTCTTACATTTGGCTAGTGCTATTTTCTTCTTTTTTTTGGAGGGGGGCTAGACACACTTTTTGGGGGGAGGGGGGGATTTAGCCCCCCCCCCCCGTAGAACCGCCACTGTTAACAAATGATTTTAGTCGCTCAAATTCTAGTACTTTTACTTATCTCGGATAGCAAAGCATGAATCTAACTAATTTCCTGACACTATAGTACTTCACGGTTTCACGTGTAAATAAAAGGGACACCAAATATTTAAAAACTGCTGTTGAAATGTGGTGTTTGGCTCTTGTGATCAAATACTGCCATCTGTGTATTGCTCGTATGAAAACTTGCTCTTCGTACCCTAACTCCCTATAAATTGGAGGATTCAGAACTGTTAGAGCATGGAGACTCCAAGTGCGGATCCAGGGGGGGGGGGCCAAAGGGGGCCATGCCCCCCCCCAAAAAAAAAACGAAACCAATTTTTTTTTTTTTATGTGATGTCGCAATAAAGGCAGGCAATGAGTACACCACCATCTTTTTCTCAAAAAACATTGGCTAAAGTGGTCAGCAATTGCCTCAGATCGCACCACAGAGCATCGAGAATCCAAACAAATTTCGGGGCCCTTAAGCGGGCCCCGAACCCCACGCCGTAATTTTTTGACCCACTTTTTGGGAGACACAATTTTTTTGGGGGGCCCCCCAAAAAATTGTGTTCTGGATCCGCCCTTGCATGGAGCTATAGCTCCATGGTTAGGCACGTACAAAATAAAATATTGAGCGAGATTCACAGTGCGTTAGCCCAATCACGGACCAATAAAGTCCGTGACCCAATTGGCACGTGTAAACATAATCCACTTTTTTGGGTGTCCCTTTTACACAGGAAGTTGTGTAATGCTTATAAAAAGATTATTGGGTTCACTGGCCACTGTGGCATGTCCAAACGTATTTCCATTAATTACATGTCCCACTTGATAACTGTGAAATCTTAACAAAGATCGGCATGCTTGGAATTTTTTTTATTTTAGGCCATTTTAAGTACCAAGTTTCACGTGTGTGAATGGGACACCAAATGCCCCCAATACGCAATCGATGCACACTTTAATTGTTATGTTGAGTCTAATCAAGTTAATTTCACAATAAACAAGTGTGTTATATTCTGAGTAAGACAAAGCAAAAATACATTTGGAAATAAAACACACCTCATTGGGCATGACTAATGATGGCAAAAATAGCAGAAAATAAAAGTTTGGTGTCCCCTTTACTTTTTTCCAATACAGGCTCGTGACTGAATTAAACCGTGAATGGATTCTGACATGGTATTTTGGTATTTCTGGATGAAATTATCTCTTATTTTGGCTACAATTAATGAGGAATATCAATATTTTTAAGTATTACAGAACATTATTAATGAATTCCCAGTCAATATATTTTTTTCTCCATTTTGGGTCAAATTATCACAAGTTGGTACCCTAATATTAAGCCTACATTGTATTACCTTCGATTTCGGTTTTGCTTTTTTGTCATCGTTTTCCCCTAGAAGGTTCATCCTTCTAGTTCATCGGATCACCCCCAAAAAAAATTCACAGAAAATGAAAGATGATGGAAAAAGCTATAAATTGATTTTAGTTCGAATAATGTGCAGGATACTTAACTTTTGAGAAAATTTAAATTGTCTTTCTGGTTTGCTGATTTTAATCCGTTTTACCCTTCGCTCGCGTATTAGGCGCTATTCTTTTTATAGATCCCGTTGAAAAAATTAATAAAAATTCAAGTTTCTTTTTCAGAAAACCACTATGATTATAAACAAGTGTGAAAGGGCAATTAAAGATGTTGTATGTGCTCTATGAATACATACAGACTATTACCCAAGTAAATGAAACTTAAAATAGAGTATGATGTGAAATTCCGGTTTAGTTCTTGCGTCATTTCTATTTTCCTATGACATTACATGAATCTGTTGCAATGATGCTTTGTTGTTGGTTTAGTTTAGAATTTCCGGAATTTTCTGTTTATTGTGCAAGTACAACAAACACGTCGGGGCACGCGACGCAACGTCTGTCAAACGTTCAACACGTATCCCTGCGGTTTTGTGACGTATCAGCACCGACTCTCTCGTTCATCATTAAAATATACATGCGCGAGGTTGACGAGTTGTTTACAAAAATGTATGGAGCTATACTTAGTGCAGTCGTCTTTTGAAATTCCTCTCATTGTTTACGAAATAATGGTAACATACAGTATTTAGTTTTTATCACCGATTTTTGATGATCAATTCAAATGTCTAATTTATTATAATTCCGTTCAAAACTTTCTCATTTATTCACTCCTGACGGCATGATCATTTCAAAGGATGCTGTAAACGCCTGTATTATGTCTGCATGTTCGTGACGTCATTAATCGGAACCGAACTATTTTCCAATGGTAAAGGATATCGCAGTAATCGGGTTTTGTATGGTATATAAGCCCTGTGCGGACCTGCGAAATTTAGGGCGTCAGCAGCGATCTGTCTTGGTTTGTGTGTCGCTTTCCAGGTGGTCGTTTGTTGTGATTTTGTGCCCGTCTTTTGTCTGGGTTTTCTGGCAAGAATATCTTGAAATTTGTTCCCAGGTTGAAATTCAGAGTGGTCAGCTGGTCTTCGACATTCCGTTTCCGTCATGTCCGTGTCGTCTAGTCGGTCAACATTCTGGTTTGAAGTTGAATTTTGATTTGTTTTCAACAGACAGTTAAGGCAACACAGAATCATGATGAAAAACCTCAACGACAGCGTCTATTCGATTTCCACGCCGCGTATTTCTGCACTAAATAAACTCGACGAACAAAGTCAGCTTGAAACAACATGTTACTTTCTTCATTTCTTCAAAAGACTTGTGTTTTCATGGTCAATTGACTCACTGACTGAACTTTGCGAAAACAAACATTATGACAAAGACTGTCATGACTGTTTTCTGGCACTCAGTTCATGCAGGCGATTTTTTTATTTGTTTTACTTTAGTTTTTGTAGGTCTTGGACTTGGCGCACATCACAATTTTGCTTATTAACTATACAAAAAACAAAGACGGGCCCGGCCTATCGTGTTTTCTCCAGCACAGCGGGTTATAATTTTGACGGTTGTAGTTTGGCACATTGGCTATGTCGTTTTCTCTACATTTTGACAATCTTCAAGAAGTACTATAGGTTCAGTTGACTTGGTGAAAGAAGTGTTATTCCCGATTCCTCAACTTGTCCACTGCTAAAGTGCTATTGCTCAAAACAAGAATTTCAAGGCATGGCTGGTCTTCGAATTCAAGAGACCCAAGAATATAAATGGTAAGGAAAATTGTTTTTCCTTCAACTTGCTTAATTCATTTGATTTTGATAGCAAACTAGCAAAGCTTTTCTAAGTCGGTAAACACTTAACAGAGCTGCTCAGTCATGTCACTGTCGGTGTTCTGATTAGCATGATTAGGCCTAGGCCTACACAGTTGACAGTACAGGCGTGCAACTTTTCCTCAGATCAGCTGATCTCCTCTCTTTTTTTACTTCATAGACAATGTGTACCATTAAAAAAAATAGAAAAACACTGTGTGAGTATGGGGCCAAGGCTAAAAAGTCTTTGAAAGATTTGAAATTTCATCTTTTTGCGACTTCCTGTCGTCATGCCAGTTTCATGCCTGACTAAATCATTGGTTTTGCATAGGCCTAGGCTTGCATTGTCTTTACAGCTTTTGACATTGTTTGATTACTTCAGCCTTAAGTTAAGCAGCCTTACATAAAAATTAAACATAATTGTACTCTGTTCTCTGAATCAATGAAGTTAAATTGCAGTTTCATAAAAAACATTGCTTGATTTCAGCTTGACCTGTCAAGTGTTTTTGTCATGGAAGTTAATTGCATTTTGTTAGGATTGTTCATGTGAGTGTGACTAGTTTCGACTTCTCAAGTGTGTGTACACTTTATATCTACGATGTTGTTTGTTGGCTCGAAAAAAATGTAATGCATTGTACATGTATACAGGCCCATGTCTTGATAATTGTGTCTCTGGTTTTATTGACGCGCTGATATTTTCAGCACTTCAGCATGTTCATGTCAACACTCTTACCAAGAAAAAAATTGGCACTAGGGCTGACATGGCTGATACTGGGCTAATTGTCAGTTTGTTGGAAGTTAATTAATAGTACTTCTAAAATATCCACTTGTTTTCTCTAGACATGTACAAAAAAATGTATAAAATTTACATGTTGGAGCAAAGTAAAACAAAACCTTAAGTCTTAATCTGTTGAACCTTTCCTTCACTTTACTTACTCCCTAGTCGAGCAGGGTGTGAGGACCTTTGTCTCGACCAATTTTGTTGGTCAGTTCAAAGTTGGTTGATTGAAACAACACTGGCAATATTACTCTCTCAAAGGTGATTCGACCTCTTCCTTGGTATTCAATCTCTTCTTCCTTTCCACCTATTTTGTTTTTGTCATCTAGATATTAAGTGATATGACGCAAATTGCAGCCACAGACTATGACGAAGCCAGCCAAGTAAGAAGTCAAAGTGATAGTTCTTCAAAGTAAAAATTCATTTCAAAGAGCATGAAGCATCATCAAGTACCTTCAGTGGTTGTTTACATTATGTTAAGACACTTGACGTGATAGTGGAAGCAAAATTCATTCGATTCTGGAAATTCGTTTTGATTTTGAAATATTGTACAAATGGAAGTGAAAGAAATCTGAAAGAGAAAGAGTACGCTCACTTGAAAGTGATTCAGCAAAGTGATCCTGAACAATCATCAATCTTTGTATACTGTGTCAACATTATTCCCACCCAGAAGGGAAGGGGTTTTTGTGTTTGTTTCTTCCTTCATCTTCTATCAAGTCCAGGGGAAAATGCTACAAGTCTACCTGTAAAGTCACTCATGAGAAAAGGAATTCACACAAGGCAGGCCTGACACAAGATGGAGAGTCTGGAATTTCAAGATTCTGATCAAGATGTCTAAACACACGGTGCACAAATTCATCAAATTTGTAAAAAATCGTTCCAATTTGACTTGAGGAAAAAGAAATGTTCACCAAAACTATGGTTCGGAAAGAAATCTAAGAAGAAAGAAGAAACAAGTGAAAGAAAATATGCCAAAATCCTTAAAGATTGTTTTTGACATTCTGGTTGTGTCTCCAAACGGCAAATCCTGTAATGGAGTTTTAACTATTTCATGAGGTGCTAGGCTTGGGGCGTTTTCTTCCTTCCCTTTTCAAGTGTTTCGTATGTAGTTCCGAATGCTGATGTATGAAGCGCGAGTGGTTCACTACCGCAACCTGTCAAGGAATTCCCCTTAGAGGTCCCAGGTCACACTGCTAGGAAGTTCAAGCTTGATGTTCACTGGTGTTAGGACCCAGCTACACAGGTTTCTTTTCTATGTTCACACCAAAGTTAAAAGTTTTCTTGCCAAGCATTTTTTAAAATTATACTTAAAACCATCTTTGTGGTTTAGTACTAACCTTCAACAGAGTTATCAGATCGTACATCTACTTGTATTTCTTGGAAACTTCTGCTTTGTCGTCGTGTTCCCCCCCCCCCCCCTTTTTTTTCCAGTTATATTTTTTTATGTTTTAGATACACTTGGATTTGGGCTACTCAAGCAAGCGCTGTGGGTAAAACAAGAAAGACCACCATAGACGTAGCAATGGATTGCCGCTGCGGTTACAGACCAAGCAAGCACGTGTCGACATTCGGTTATTTCGTCGCCATGTAGGGCCACGCCAAACAGGTTTCCCTCTGTAAAGTACAAACACGCTGCAACATAGTATCTGTTAAGGAAAATTGGATAATTCTTGCCGTGCATATTTCTGTCTGAAATATTTTTATGGAGATCTGACAACATGCCGGTATAGGAACATCGCTAAAACAAGAGCTTTGACCATTGTTTACATGAGGTTGACATGAAGCAAACATCAGTTCAATGGGGCCATGCTTAGCAGTTCTTTAAATTGTAAACTACATTGTAGACACTCGTGGTAAACACATTTTAATTTGTAATGAGCGCTCGTGCCATACCCTCGGTGTTTCTTCCTCCCATTTTTTCCCCCAACAAATCTCAAATATGTAGGTAATCTGCCTTGCAACTTCTGTCACGGAAGACATCTCGTTGAACTTCTCGTTGAAGATCTATCTTGCTCGTGTACGCTGCGCATTCCAATCATAATGGTAAAGTAAGCTGTTGTAAAGTAAACAGAAAAAGATAATTACATGAAGTAGATAAAAAATGATTTAACTAACCATAAAAAGTGGAAATGTATGCATTCTAGGGTTTCCTTTTTCCCCATTTTTAAGTATTCATGTAGATCGGTGAGCCCAAAGACGTGTTCTTAAGCCGTTGCTTACTGTGCTGTGCCATTGTACTTGAAGCCGAGTCTTCAGCGTGTGGAAGTTGTTTGAAGAAAGATACCTCTAACAGGTTTCTCGTAATCCATTAACGTGTGAATGCGTTTTGAAATTTCAATCTTAATCGCCTTTCAAAGTGGATCACAAAGATGAATGCACCAAGCTTAAAATCCGGGAATATTGTGAACGTTTGTTATTTGGGCATTGAAAAGTTACATGTCTTTGCTTTAAATAATTTGGGTCTTTTGTAAGCGGAAACAAAATACTACAAAACTTCACTCCTAAACTGACAGTCCATTGGAACACTTGGATCAGCTATTACTTTTGTTGGGGAATGTGGTGTTTTGTGTTTTTCTCCTGGTTTCCATCCAGTCTGTAGATCTACAGCTTGCAAGATAAGATACACATGCTTTCCATGCTGTACTACGTAGCTCGTCATACCTGCGCAAAGTTCAAGTCAAAGTGCAAGAAATCGTGCAGAATGATCAGTCACCCGAAAGAAAAGGACAGAGCCAGCAGGTTTCTTTATAATATCAAGAAGATTTGGCTATTCTTAGTAATTACTCGTATTCATAAGATACAACAATGCCATGGCAAAAATATAAAAATTATCAGTTTTGGGGAATTTGTAAAAACTTGATTGATTCAATAAACAGGAACACTAAATACACTAGATTTAAAGTGCAACTTTTTTTCACACATCTCAAATGAAATCAAAAGAATTCAACAGTTGCTTGTTAAAAATTGACGTGGTACACTAACAAAAGAATTACAGTGATTAGGTTAGGGCTTCATAACTTGCTTTGCTTTTTCCCAATGTTAATCATAATCTTGCAGTTATCACGAGGCCGTCCTCATTGAGGTCTTCATGAAGAAATTGGCATGGATTGACAATCGCTCCTTCACCAGACCACCTGACCACCCTTCTGTTTTCACGCACCCATCTTTTAATAGAATGAGACAAGACTGTGTTGCTTTCTTCATCTACCACTTTCTCCGATTAGAAGCTTTTGGGTGAACCTGTTTTCGCTGTGACTTTTTTAATTTTTGTATTTCACCAACGCCATCCTTAATGTTTTTCAAACTTAACTTCTTTTTGAACTGTAGTTCACTCTTGTGAATTTGCTTACCTCTACTTGTGTCCATGATTGTTTTCGAACTCCACAAGCGTGTAGGATGTTTTGTTTTTCCCCTGCTTTTTTTTTGCAATAACCCAGGTTCCTCATGATCTTCACTGCCGTGCTTAGACCTCCGCCTATCAACTCATGTATGACTACCGTATGTGTGTCGCACTCCTTTTTCACAATTACTCCTGCGTTATACAAGCAGCCTTCTAGGTGTCAAATCATGTGAATTCCCTGCACTTCCCAAGTTTTTGTCGGTCATGGTAAAATACACATCTGTCTGTCTTGCTGATGTAAGTTTTTAATTCATTTTGTTCTCAAACACTTAAAAAAGCTTCCATTTCTAGAACCGCTTTTTCTCGTGACATTCGTTGTTTACATTTACTTGAGTTAAACCCATTCACATCACAACCTACTAAATAAATGGTTGGGCTTTTTGTTGAAATATAGAGATTGAAATGTCTGCACATTGCATTTAACAAGTTTGTTTGCAACATTTTGTTATTCTCAAAATTGGTCTCAAATTTCCCAGTGTACATGCATGCATTTCTATCAGACACTTTGTTCTGATTAGCATATTGACTGGTTGCTTCTTTAACACAATGGATTTATTTTCAATGAATATTAACCACGTGTAGGCGCTGTTTGGTATGGGTGGGGGGAGAGACTTTTGTTTGCATTTTGTCGTTATTACAGCTTTGGAAGCGAATGCACAGCATCGTGGGACATCGTCCTAGCAAGCTGATTCATGCAACTTCTTTGAAACTGCAACACAGTGTGTCCGCATTGGCTACAATTTGTCCATCCCACTAAATCAAGAAATGTTCTGCTCAAATTTTCTTCACCATCTCTTCATTGTTGCTGCTCATCAATGACAACACTTACTGTAAGGTCATGTTAACCCTCTGGCTTCATAGAAATTTTCACTACAATTCAACACGTTAAGAAATACACCAAATTGTTCCTTCTGCATCATCAAAAGTAAAAATGACATCAACTGCATGAAAAAAATTCTTAATTTAGAATGGTCATATTGCCAACAGTAGCATAGCCAGTAATGGAGGATTGATTAGTCATTCAAAATATGCCTTGGCCTTTGTTTGCCTTCGTATGGTTTCTCCCACTTTTATTTGCATTCATTTAGGTAACTAAGGACTTGGAATCTGCAGGTATCAGACTTTTATATCACTGTTTTAGCTTGTGGCAAATCAGGCGCTGCACATGTTTCTAACAAGGTACCGTTAACGTTGAATGTTTGTTAATTGCTGGTTGTAGTCGTTGCTTTTGAAAGTTTTGGGGATCTCTTAGTTGATTTTTGTTAAAATTATATTGCCTAAGCTGTTGCATGTAATTTTATATTTTGTAGTGTTGGTAAAGAGTCTTTAAGACATTTGGCATATTGCCATGGGGAGGATTGTTGGGCTAGCGTGGGTAGGGTAATCTGTTCTTCCGTTCCAGGGATTGTGAAACTCCTCGGCCCCCGTGAAAGCTTTGTAACTGTCCGCGGTTAGCTGATCGTACAACATGAATTGACAACGGCATTCTTTCATGAGTTGAAGGTCTTAATATACAGGCATAACAGGCAAGTTCTGTGTATGATAGATTACCTAGTAAATTTAAGGCTTTTTTATTTTGTTGAATGTTGCTTTGTCTTGTAGAACGATGAGAATGTTGACAAATATGCACTCAGAAAAAAAAAAAGACTAATGAACATGAATACTTCTCCGGAAAAGATTATTCTTTTTATAAGCCTGTCTGTGGACTACTGTTTGTTTTGAGATACTGGGGGGTTACCTTAGGGCAAGTCGATTTTTTTTTTAGCTTTCCTTTCCAGATTTTGCCCATGAAGAAACTGGCCACAATTCCTGTGAAAGACACAAGAGTTCCTATGCAGATGTCCTAAGAATCTACTCAAGCCCTCACGATCCCACTCGGTCCTTGACATGAACACCATCCAAGTAGCTACGTCTTCAATTCTGTGCAATCCTTTGTTACAAGTCAAGTTTTCAAGAGTGTCGTAGCCTTTGCGCATAAATGGAACTGTCAAACCGGTCCTACTTGGCATGTATTCACAAGACGTGAGTTTCTCCGATAAAATTTTCTCTGTTGATTGCCTTTTGAGGAAAATTCAACTATTTGTAAAGAGGAAATCAAGTCTCTCAGCTTCTCATACTTACGTTGCAAGTTTTCTGGTACATTAGGTCCTTTTTTTTCTCCCCCTGCTGGCTGCTAGCATGTAGATTCCTTATATGTCCGGTTTTGCCCGGAATAATTTCACTGGTGTTATTAATTTACTGTTGCATCTAAGTTGCACTTTGATTTAAATGAGAGCACAAGTGACCTTGTCAGCATAAACAATACTGCAAACAATGTACAAGTAGGGCAGTGTGATGGGTTTGGGGTAGGTTTTTTTTCTATTTTTATTACAGAAAGGTGTCCCTGAATATGTCTGGGCAACCAAGAGGAACAGATAAACCGGAAACGGGCTTAACGTGTGCGCTGTGTCGTCAAAAATAACTGCGGTATGCTTGATGTATTAAGAATGTTATCCTATAGTGAAATCACTGCGTAATTAATACTTGGTGTTTGTGTAGATGTGACAATTTTGATAAGTGGACGAATGACGTTTTGTTGAAAATACGTGATCGTGTAAACCGTGACCAAAAAAATGTAATGTGAAAGGTAATGAATTTAGGGGATGTGATTGAAGGTTATTAGCAGTTGTACTAAGTGTAAATATATCAGCGAATTCAATGAGAATGACTGTGCTTTAGGAGAAAAATTGTGAAAGAATATACATACGCAAAATAATTTTAAATCCAGTCACTGTGAAGTTAACGGATCAATTCTGTGATTATGTTTGTGATAGACTGAAAGGGTAGTCGAGGGGCTTTCGTAGGGCAAACTTTTTTCTTTTAATTCTATAAGTACACAGGTTAAACGAATTTCCCGAGGTGGAAACTAAATCCTGGAAAAGTACTCCGAACGTTTTGAGGTGAAAAGGACAGGTGTATGGTGGAAAGTTTGTGGTAGGATAATTTGTTTTGGGGAAATTGTACTTGCCAAGAACTTGTGAAAATGATTTATCTGATACTTTGTAACAATTTTGAAGGGCCATGTGTACCTAACAGCCATGTGAGGGATGGGTATGTGTGCATGGGGGTGGGAAATGTTTACCTGTGCTTGCCTTGCAGAAACTGTTGACATGCGGCAGTTTTTGGATAGCGTTTGTACTACATTTGGTATCAAGCCGGACTGACCATATCTTGCCGATTTTAAATGCGACCCGAAGAATGCATTCTTGCTTCGTTCATTTGGTAGGATCAACTCATTTACAATCCTTTTTTTTTTAAAACGCTCGTAGAAAGCTAGCTTGCTTAAACTGCATTGAAGTCTCTAAAAATGCATGTGAAAGAACATCTTTTGTTGAGGAAACTGTTTTGTGTAATAGATCATCCTTAAAAAGCTTTAAAACGTTTTTTACCCGCGGATGCATGATTTCATAATGTTGCGGCGTTGCTATTGCCTGTTGGGAGGGATTGGGGAAGAAATTCTTGTTTGTTTAAAGAGCTACAGATTCAGAGCCAAGCCTTACTCCCATAGTGATGTGGCAGCTTCTAAGGAGGTCTCTCAGCCATGGTCATCTTGACTTGCAAGCTCCTGGTTCCAAGAAAGGTTCCACTGGAAATTCCAAAATCTCCATGTTCTGGTATAGTACTGCTTAAAAAGTATTTGAGTGCATGGCTTTTTTGTGCTTTTGCATTTTGGGGAGCCTGTATTTTTCCCAACAGATGCAGTAAAGAGTCCTCCTTGCATTGTGTATCCATGGGAGTGAAGGCTTAAGCTACATGTTTCATATCTGGATTTGCCATCTAAAATAACCAAGGACTAGCAAGTGTATGTGAAAAGACTGCACATTTATGGATTTTTACGTAAAAGACCAAGCTTTCATCTGAACTAAATGTGAGGGGGTGCTAAAAGAACTGACAAGTGAGGGAGAAATCAATTCCACTGTTCGCTGGAAAGGACTTGTGAAATGCGTGTGGGAATGAGACGGATACAGAACAATGTTCAAGGGAATAAGCAGCCTGGCTGTTGACTCTGTCACTTGTGGTATCTTCTTGCTATGAGAGATCACCACACTATTCTGGGATGCACAGAGCAAGCATCAAGGAGATCTTAAAACAGCAGGAGGAAAGCACAAGTGAGAATAGTAGAGGACTCAGTCAGGCTGGACACAGCTAGCCAAGGTCGGACAGTTTGCTAAACGGGAGTTCACAAGGCTGACTGGTGTGGGGCATTAGTGGGGATGGAGACGCGGCTGACTAGCTAGGCTGAACATAGGTGAATGAGGCATCTGGATGGGGGTGACTGGATAACGTGTGGGGGACAAGGCATTGGGAGTGGCTGTACGAGGAGCATTGACGGGGTAGACAGACTAGTCGGGCTTGGGGGACGACGGTGGAGACTGACGGAGCAGACGGTGGTTCAAGGGGACAGAGTGGTTTGACGGGAAACGGGACATCGTTGGCGTGACAGCTGGACGAATGGCAGGAGGGAGCAACGTGACAGGACGGGACTAGGATGGCGGGATGGTTTCTTGGGACTCTTTTGGGAGGCTGCTGGACGGGACTGACTGGACGGGCTGAGGAGACGGGTCAGCTGGACGGGACGGGACTAGGCTAGCGGGACTAGACGGGCCGAGGAGACGCGACGGCAGGACGTGATGGGACAAGGACGGGATGGATTCTTGGGAGGCTGCTGGACGGGACTGACTGGATGGGCTAAGGAGACGGGTCGACGGGACGTGACGGGACTAGGCTGGCCGGAGGGAGTGTTTCTGCAGAGACTGCCGGACGGGACTGATGACTGGACGGGCTGAGGAGACGTGACGGGACTAGGCTGCTGTACGGGCCGAGGAATCGGGACTAGGCTGACGGGATGGATTCTGCAGAGGCTGCTGGACGGGTTGAGGAGACGCGAATGGCTTGATGGTGGGAGACAAGACGAGGATGGGTTGAGGCAGAGAGGATGGTGAGTGGATGCAGTTGAGCTGGAGTGATCTTGATGGGTGGTGATTTGGCTTGATGGCTTTCAGCATGGTCGTGGACGTCGGGAGTGTTGGTTCTTCAGGATATGTACTATTTGTTTGAGAATGTTGGTGTTGGAATGTTGTGTAAGTTGTTGACAGGTACTGCCACTGAGTGGCTGTAGTTATTAGACAAAAATAGGTTCTTGTAAATCTCTCGCACATGATTACACTGCCATTCATATACTCGAGCAATTTCTTGGCCTAAATCATGAATTGGCCCAAAACGTGTATTGAAATGTAAATCTCAAAAGGTTTCTTTTATTATGTTGAAAGTTTGGTTTTCGCGAAAAGTATAATAAAAATACATGTACGAATGAAAATATACGAAATTATGACAACGTCATAAATGTCATGAAAATGTAGCACTTGTTGCCAACATCAAAATTATGTTGAACACTGTTAATTCACTTATCTTGTGAAATTTGGTGAATACATGTTTACACATGAAATTGAAACACAATACATGTATAGGGATAAAATGGTTGCATTCGCTGATTGGTTTTACTAGGAAATAATTATGAACAGTTTTCAGACAAGCAAAACTTGTTTAACAAAATTAACAGCCTTTATGAAATGAAGTTAAATTCTAAATCTGTGAGACATTTTCCTAAATGTTGAGAAAGTTAAGAATTGAGTGCATGTTGAGAACTAAGTCGTGGAACTGAAGGTGAAAGAAGTTATGGGTCAATTCAGATAGCTGCATTTGTTTTAGTATGTGTCGTGTAAAAATTACCGCAAATCTGATTACTTTGTGTAACGGCATAGTTGAGCAAGTATGTTGAGTGTGAAGATGGAAAAATTACATATGAAATCAATTTTGGCAAATGGAGTATTGAATGCAACTCGTTTGAAAACAAAAGATCTTGAGATTTGAACACATAAAATGAAAGCAATATTGAGGGAGCTCAAATTAGTAAAAAAAACTGAGAAAAGATAAGCGCTTGAATTGCTCCCATGTTCTTCTGAGCAATAAAAGAGTAAGCATAAGCATTGTAGACTTCATCCCAACTTCCTTCAATATAAAATGTTATCGTATCCTGGGCATCAAAAGGGCCCTTCTTCCAAAAGAAAAACATGTAAGTTTTTCAACTTTCTATTCACATCTTGAAGTTTGAAATCACCTACCAACATGCCATTTAAAGATGGTGGTTTTCTAGATATAAGTTATCTTGAATGATAAACATCTGCTCTTTAATTTTTTTGTGGAAATGCCAAAAGTTCAAGTTAGGAATTTGTTGTACGTATCTCCCAATATATTTTATTGCTTTGTAAACTATTTTGCACCTAGTTGCATCTTTAGTATTCAATTAACTTTCAAATAAGCTCTTTAAAAAAAAAAAAGAACAGCTTTTAAATAACATCATCGGAGAAATTTGAATTTTGAAACAAAAAGTTTTTAACATTGCAAAATACAAGAAGGTAAAAATCAACAATTCCTTCTTTGGGAAATGCCTTGGGGAAAAAATGTCTTTAAGTGAAGAAATTGTGTTGAGAGTAAGCTTTTCTTGAAAATCATATTGTCTTTTTTTCCAGTTGTAATCGCGTTTCCAAAATTTCATTGTAAGATGAAGTGTGGCTTAAGACAATTTGTAATTTTTGATTAAAGTTGCATTTGGGTGGATTCGGCCGGCTAGAAGGGGTGATGAGGAGGCCGGTTTGCAAAGCAAAACTTAACTGATTGTAATTGTCAAAAAAATTGATGTAAAATAACCCAAAAAAGGTTTCTTGAATTTGTGAAACGGTATAGTTGTTCAGTGTGATGATGGAAGAAATTAACGATTTTTTTTTTAAAATTGGTCTGTACGAACATGATGAAATCAATTTGAGCAAATGGAGTATAAATACAGCTTGTGTGGAAAAAAAAATCTTGAGATTTGAACACATGAAATGAAAGTAATATTGACAGAACTCAAAAAAATGAGGAAATATAAAAAGCATTTGAAATGAATGTTCTTCTGATTAGCACTAAAAAAAGTAAGGGTTGTAGACTTCATCCCAACTTCCTTTAATTTAAGAGTTTATCGTATCCTCGGCACGAAAAAGGCCCTTTTCCGAAATTGCATTGTCAAATTTTGAAAACATGTACATGTACATGTATTAAGGCCGAGTAAGACATTGTAAGATGGTAATTTTATAGACACCTGTACTTCTGTGAGATAGACATATGATTTTTTTTGTTGGAAAATTTCAAATCTCAGTTAAGGAATAAGCTTTTTAAATCCTTCAATTACCTCGTGTACTTTATCCTTGAAAGGCCAGTTTTAAAATGTATTCGGGGGTGTTCTGGAGCAGCACTGGCTGACATAAATTGTATTTCTCATTGGAAACTACCCAGTATCACTTTGTAAACTACATATTTTGTACATCTAGTTTGCATCTTGAATATTCAATTAACTTTCAGCGAGAAAACAGAGAAATTTGAATTTTGAAAAAAAACAAACACATTTTTTTTTTTTTTTTTAACTGTTGCAAAATACAAAAATGTAAATCAACGATTCCTGCTTTGGGAAATGCCTGGGGAAAATGTGTCTTTGAATGAAGAAAATGTGTTGAGTAAGCCTTTCTTTAAAATCAAACTGTCTTTTTTTCCAATTGTAATCGCGTTTCCAGAATTCCATTGTAAGATGAAGTGTGGCTTAAGACAATTTGTAATTTTTGATTAAAGTTGCATGTGGGTGGATTCGGCCGGCTAAAAGGGGTGATGAGGAGGCCGGTTTGCAAAGCAAAACTTAACTGATTGTAATTGTCAAAAAATTGATGTAAAATAACCCAAAAAAGGTTTCTTGAATTTGTGTAACGGTATAGTTGTTCAGTGTGATGATGGAAGAAATTAACGATTTTTTTTGAAAATTGGTCTGTATGTTCGAACGTGATGAAATCAATTTGAGCAAATGGAGTATAAATACAGCTTGTCATGTGTGGAAAAAAAAAATCTTGAGATTTGAACACATAAAATGAAAGTAATATTGACAGAACTCAAACAAATGAGGAAACATAAAAACATTTGAAATGAACGTTATTCTGATTAGCACTAAAAAGAGTAAGGGTTGTAGACTTCATCCCAACTTCCTTTTTATCGTATCCTTGGCACGAAAAAAGGCCCTTTTCCGAAATTGCATTGTCAAATTTTGAAAACATGTACATTGTACATGTATTAAGACCGAGTAAGACATTGTAATATGGTAATTTTATAGAACTATACTTTTGCGAGATAGACATCTGAATTTTTTTTGTTGGAAAATTTCAAATCTCAGTTATGGAATAAGCTTTTTAAATCCTTTAATTACCTCATGTACTTTATCCTTGAAAGACCTGTTTTAAAATGTGTTTGGGGGTGTTCTGAAGCAGCACTGGCTGACATAAATTTCATTTCTCATTGGAAACTACCCAGTATCACTTTGTAAACTACATATTTTGTACATCTAGTTGCATCTTGAATATTCAATTAACTTTCAGCGAGAAATCAGAGAAATTTGAATTTTGAAAAAAAACCACCTTTTTATTTTTAACTGTTGCAAAATACAAAAATGTAAATCAACGATTCCTGCTTTGGGAAATGCCTGGGGAAAATGTGTCTTTGAATGAAGAAAATGTGTTGAGTAAGCCTTTCTTTAAAATCAAACTGTCTTTTTTTCCAGTTGTAATCGCGTTTCCAAAATTCCATTGTAAGATGAAGTGTGGCTTAAGACAATTTGTAATTTTTGATTAAAGTTGCATGTGGGTGGATTCGGCCGGCTAGAAGGGGTGATGAGGAGGCCGGTTTGCAAAACAAAACTTAGCTGATTGTAAATGTAAAAACAATATGGTAAAAAGAACCCTACAAACGGTTTCTTTAATTGGTTAGTTCGGAATAAAAAGGTGCATACATGTGGGTGGAATCGGCCAGCTATAAGGGGTGATGAGGAGGCTGGTTATAAAATGTAAAATATCCGGTTAGCGAAATGATTTTTTTTATTCTGTTTGTTTCATATGGATACTACAAAAAGTACTTCAAGCTTTGTATGTACTAATTAAAAAAAGAAAAAAATGTCAAGTCTTTAAAATTTAAAGGTCCTACTCTTTCCTTCAAATGAAATTTTTTATAACTTCAAGGGAAAAAGTTTCACATTTTTAAATGTTTCCAAACATTGTTTAGAAACTATTAGCTTTAAATTGCCATTGATTTACACATTTGGTGGAAGACATTTTTTTCTTCTGAAATTGAAAAGCACTAATTATGGAAACACTTTGACAACCATTCTAATGTGACACTACATGTAGTAAAGATGCATCTGTTTCACCATAAATTATCTCACACAAAAATGCCTGTAAAACACTCAAGTTTTCTAATATTCTTTAACCATTTACACAGTATATTTTTGAAATCGTTTATGATTGTTTCATGTGTATTTTGTCCATTACCGATGTTCAAATTGTGTTGTCATTTGGTACTGAATGTTTGACATTTTAAGAGCCAAATTAATCTTCAAGTCTTAAGTGAGTTGCACTGCACTTTTTAATCATAACGGCTAATCTCGACAATTTGAAACGTTACGAAAAAATTTCGTGGTAGAAAAAAAAGAGAATTTAATGTTTTTTTGTGCCAAAATGAGTACGCGTTGATAACACCATTGAACGTTAACTTGTGATTAAAACTAAGTCAGATTTTTTATACAATCCCAGAAAGCACAATCAGGTCAATACAATGGTTAAATCGTTGGATATGTTTTCATAACGAAATCCATTCTGTTTAATACATGTAAAAAGAATTAGTATTCAGACATTTGGCCTTCATTTTTTTAAAACTTGTTTACATGTACACATTACATATCAAAGCTAATTATTTTTCTGCATTGTCGTCATTTTAAAACCAAGAAATTTGGTGACGGTTGTTTTTACTGAAATTCATCTCGGGGACTTAAAAAGACATTGTGCTGGAAAACAACAATTCACAAGTTAGTAGTAAAGAGTACCACAATTTTTTTCTCTCCAAATTGCATGAAAATCTATAATAAGACTGATGTAACATTGAAAATCGAATAGCATTTGTGAAAGTCTATGGGAGAAATCCTTTTTAAAATTGGAAATGCAAACAAATTGTACACATACACTAATCTACCTCATTTGTAACCTTGTTTCTTTATACGTTGCATTGAGGGAGTTTTTCCTGGTTTTCCCCAAAAGGGTTTTACAGGTTTTTTGACTCCCTAATGCAACTGCACGGTAAAGAGGCGGAGGATGAACAAGAAACAAAAAAATGTTAAAAATCAGAAGAGATACACGAAAAGAATAAAAGAAATGAAACTTGATGTTTGGTTTTCAACTTTGTACTCTTTTTGATGTCAAGTTGTATTTCCTTTTTAACTGTGGATGTTGGTAACAAGTATGCCAAGTGAATTTTAAAGGTTATAAATTTTGTCCAAAGTATACATGAATGTTTTGTTTTTATGGAGAAAAGTGTTGGAACTTTTTTGCTGCCCATCACAGAGAATCGGTCAGATAATAATAGAATAACTTGGCAATAAAGTGTTCCTGACATCCATGGTGATTTTAATTACATGTATTAAAGAAAATTTGAAATGCATTTTAAGTTTAATTCACCACTAGCTCGAAGAGAAAAATGCACAATTTCAAAGTGCAAACTGAGTATCGCTAACACCCCCCCCCCCACCACTTCTCTTATGAAATATAGGTCTCAATCATAATGCCTTCCCCTTAGTGGTCTGATAGAAAAGCAGTTAAGTTCTTAATTCTGGTTAAGGGACTGCCTTCGGTAATGGATCCAGGGGAGGGTTAGGTGTTTAACCTCCACACACCCCCCCCCCCCCCCTTGGGCCGCACAAAAATATGGGGAAAAAAAGTACAGAAAAGTATTACATGTACAAGTATTTTGTACAAGCCTGATAGCTGATAGACCATCCCTCCCCCTCTCCCCTGAGCCAAATCTGGATCCGCCCCTGATGGCCTTGGTTAGAAGTTGGGGGGGGGGGAGCTATTGGAATCCTGGCTACTGGGAATGAATCTGAAAAGCACCCAAACCCATACCCCTCCCCTATCCCATTTCACAAGGACTGTGCTAAGCTTCCTACTTCATGGAGCCAAGACCCAAAGATGTTGCTGGTTGCTGTGAAGCTGCATCATTTTGCAGGTAAAGTAGACTGGTAAGTCTTAATTTATGTAAGACTGGTAAGTCTTAATTTATGTTAATTCATATGCAATCATTATATGGGATTTTATGATAATGTGCAGATTTTGAAGAGGACAACAATTAATTTTTTTTTTCTAGCACTTGGAAGATGACATTATGAATTGAAATATTGGAATGATGATATTGAGGGGGTGGGAGGGGATGAGTGCTCAGGAGCATGTTTACCAACGCATTTTTAAGCATTGTCAATTTAATGAATATTTTAATTGGGTAGGCCAGGAATAGTGGGATGAGATGTTTTGGTCCGTGCATTGTCTGAGAATAAGGAAAGGGACCACTTAAAGGGAATGTACAACATTTGCTTTTGCTGCAATTTTCAGAAATAAATAGATTTGGAGGATGAGTATGTTACCGCAAATATTGTTACAATGACTTGTTTCATGTTTTGGGTTCGTAGATGCAGGAAAAACCAAGAAAACCAGTCATATTCTTGTAGTCTGGTTCCCTGACCCCAGCTAAGATGAAACGGAGCAATTTAGAGCCTTTGGCAATTGTAAGATCAGAGAATCAGTCTAGCAGGGTTGTAGACTTAACAGGTGTGTAATTCATTGCAAAGAAAATGCAGACGAACTAAATATAAAAAAAGTAGGAGCACTTTTTGAAAAAAAGCCAGTTTTCGCCAACGCTGGTCGGCCGACCAGCATTGGAAAAATACAGTTTTTCTTGAAAATGTCAGCACACTAGGAGCCACAACTTTACAGGATGCTTAGACTGTCATTCCCTAACAATCTAGTAAGACATTTCGTGATAAATTGATCATTTCGTTTTTTTATGTTTGCAAATGTTCTATCTTCCCTTTAATAATTAATGGTATGTTACTCGTTCAACATGAAATTACATGGGAGTTACTCAGCTCAAGTCTGAATACAAAATTAAAGTTTATTCAGGGAGAACTGTTGGGTATGGTCTGATTGGAGTTCCCAATTTTTGTGATCACTGGGGCAGTTTCCACCATGATGCTCCAAATGAAAAACTAAAGTGAAAACAATTCTGAGCTTGACTAAGTCTCCAGGGGAAAATGCATGTGTGCAGTTACGTAGAAAAAAGTCAAAGAACAAAGCACATTTGTGTGAGCTGTAGCAACACAATTCATGCCATCTTCGTAAATTCAAACATTATACAAACACAGACTCAAAACAAATTCCAAGCTCAAGTGATCAATTTTTTTGAGAGCATTTACCCCTAAACACATAGAGGTTTAAACTTCATTTCATAATCCATATCTTCTTTACATTGACTCAACATTTTACAATAACATAAACCTGTACTTCCAATGTATAAACAAACAATTGTAGTGCATACTACGTTTCACGCATACATAATTAATTTCCAGCAGTTTTAAATGAATACAGTTATCTCATCACAGAAGCACAGTTACTCAATTCATCTTGGCAATTACCACAAATTTCAGGTAAAAAAAAGTAGCCATTTCACCACTGAGATTAGCATTATTTACTACACTGGGACATCGTCCTTGGGCAACATTTTGGCTTCGAATAACTTGAGTTTGTTTTGGCAAGCTGAGCTTCTCATCAGCTGCTACTGGAATGCAATGCATCATAGGCAAAATCCCTGAAAATATCTCCTTTTTCGCATGTGTACATGTAATTTCATCGGCTTAGTACTCATTGGAGTCCTTCAGTTCTCAAATGATTTCTGGTGATTGATCGATCACCAAATCATTTAAAATTTGAACAAAACCTGCTGAGTTTTCAGCAAGGATGACCATACAAAACCATTTGCAGTTTGTGATTTTGTATCTGACAGCATGTCAGGGGCCGATCCATGATTTTTTGCAGGGGGGGGGGGGGGTGTTTCATCAGCACATACTCAGCCTTCGTAAAATCAATGGGGGGGGGGGGGGGCTTGTACCATACTTTCAATGGGGGTGCTGTTCAAATCCACAACTGGCTACGCCTCTGGCAGATTGCATGTAAAAACATTTTGTATCTTTGCTTTAGTTTGACCTTTTGTTGCCATCATAAAACTACATGTACATGTACAACACTGGAGCAAGTACTCGCCCACCTTTAGTAAAGACAATTATAAATCTTAACTTAATGCAGTTTTTCTCCAAAATTGTTAATATACTGCTAACTTGGGGGGGGGGGGGTGAGCTTGACACCGGACACCACATGTCACTAAGCTTTTGTGCTCTTTGTTCTCGGTGCTATGTTTTGTTTTCCATTTGTTGGAAAGTTAGAAAACAACCTTAAAATCTGCCTTTTTGGTTTCTCACCACAAAAATCTGGGGGGAGGATCCAATCCTCCCCCCCCCCCCCCCCCACACCCGGGATTTGCAAAAATGGCAAGCAAGCGCATTGAAATACTTTTGCCTTTGACAAGTTCAAAATACATGTAATACGAAAAAAATTTCATCAATTATTGGGGATTCTGATTGGGAATAAACAGCACTGATATGGTATCATACTTTAAAAAGTAGTTTTGAACCTTTAAAACGTTACACTTAAATTGTCCTATACTACAACAAATTGCACGTTGCTTTGCTTCACTGCATATCAGTGATATTACCATCAATGTCAATATTTTGCAATTAAAAAATCTCAACAGGTTTTGGTATATTCTGTTTAAACTAAGGTTAAATACATGTACATTTATACATGTAGTCCCCTCCATTCACATCAAACCGAAGATCTACAGAGAATCATCTAACTATAATTCCGGAAATCTCTGTCTGTCTGTCTGTCTGTGTGTCTGTCTGTATTTCGGGGGGAGGGGGGGGGGAACAATTGATAGGGGCATTACAGCCCAGATCACCACGCACTGTCGTCCTTTTTATGTCATGTTTGCTAAAGCGTGCGTGCTCAATATGACGCAACAATGATGCAACAATGGAAAAAGGATGGGCACACGCATTATAGGGCGGTACCATGGTTCAGTATGGGTGAATAGCACTGTGTACATGTTTCCTTATACATGTACGTACGTGGCCGGGTGGCTCCACGGGCACATGCATTTTTGCAGTTGACTGAGCAACCGTCGATGTAGTGGTCGACTAAGCAACCCTTACTGAGTGTACGTTCAACCTGTAAGTGTGAGTTCATGATCAACCTGTGAAAACAACACCATTAAATATTGTGTGCGTTGTTTGTACCCTCTGTACTTTATGGCATATCACATTTTCGTTGTTTTGTTTTTATCTACATCTAGGTGCATTTCAGTCACCATGATAAATAAAATGTAAACCACCATCGTAAAGGTCGAAGTCGTGAAATTTAGTGAATGACATCTCAATCCGGTTCATAAAGTGTGACATCATTTCAACTTAAACCATGGCCACTACACACGAAGTAGCATTGAAAAAAATTTGAACCATTGGAACCGGAAGTTGTGCAAAGTGGCGTGTTTAGCAAATGGGCGCTAGTAATCAGTGGTGCATGCATGTGTATGATGCAGTCACTTACGAACCGAATTACACCACTCTCAATCATAACACCTTCTCAATAAATACACACTTAAATGAGAAATGAACACCCATGTTTACGTTACATACGAAGTGTGGACATTCCTTTGTTTTTGTGTTGTTAAGAAAAACCTGTAAAAAAAAATCATTTTTCTCACACTGTGATGAAAACTCTTTCAACCAAAATTTTTTTCTATGATTCCCTTTAGTGTTTCTCTTCATTTTGCCGCCGATAAACCTAACCCCAAAATGCCTCAAAACCTGTTTTCCAGAGAGGGGGAAACACTGTGTGGACGTGGGAAAGTCCACACAACGTCGCTGCTACCTGGTTTATGTGGACCTCTTTTGTTCGGAAGTCCACACAGTGAATGTAATGCTTGTACACATTCACACCTCACAAGCACACTTGATGGTATAAGGGAATTCCTCGCAAGATGCCGTTCGGAGTGAACTAAGTTTGGCCTCAAAGGCCAGGGACGGGTGAAGACTTCAAGTCTTCAATATGAGGTGCCAACAGCGCATCTTTGGTGTCCGGTGGTCCGACTTTGTCACCAACACCACTATCATGGGGACCACCGGTCTCGAGGATATCCGTGCTACCATCTTACAGAGGCGTCATTCCCTCTTCGGTCATTTCCGACAGCTACCGGATGACACGCCAGCCCATGCCGCCCTTAAGCTTAGCGTCGGCGTACTAGGGGGACTCCTCCACCCTGACACTGCCTGGAAGAGACCCAGGGGCCGATCTCTCAACACCTGGGTGCGCCATCTAGAAGTTGACCACAAGACAAGAGCACAACAGCTGTGGCAGTCTGCATCTGATCGCTCGGTCTGGGCGGCTCAACGTCCCCCATGATGGATTTGGAGAATGATGATGATGATGACAAAGTCTGTGCTGAAGAAGTATTTCCAAGAGTAGGAATATGGGTGTTTAGAAACACATCTGACACAGATATACCAAAAACGTTTTGATCAAAAGTCCAAATACTTTGACCACTCTGTCTGGTTTCATGTAGATCCATTCCTTCTGTACCAGCTTATATTTTGATGTACTTGGAAAACAACTCAACTTAGTACAATACATTCTCAAATCCGCTGGTCACTTATCACCACTTTGAGGTCATGCTATGGTGGTGATGGTGATGCTTGATTTAATCTCATACATGGGAATAATCACCCCGTGCTCACTCCGTATGTGTCAAACATAAATCACAGCTCTCACAAGTACAGTTGAATATGCTAAGGGAATTCATCACGAGAAATTGTTTACTGTGAAATAAGGCCGGGTCCATGATAGGTTCCAGAGCTACGGTCATGGTTGTTGTCAGTAAATTCCCACGTAGTTGTCACTGTCTGAAGACCTACACAATGGCTCTAGACAAGAGATTCAAAACAAGACCTTCAAACCTCCAGTTACTGATCACCACGTGATGACAATGTCCCCTCCCTGCAGGTGGTGATGGTGATGATGATGGTGATTGTTGACTTCAATCTCCGAGACGGGGATATCCACATCGTGTTCCTGATCCACCATGGAGGCTGCCGACTGCAGCATGGCGTTGTTGTACACCATGTCGTCCTCAACAGAGGACGACGACTGGTGGTTGACGGCAAAGTCGGGTCCCGGGTCGGACATCATGCCCAGGGTGTGGTCGTGGGTGGGGTCATGGGCGTGGTTGGGCTCGCTCAGGACCACCACGTTGCCCGGGTTGGAGACGGTACAGCGCTGCGTGGTGTCTCCTTTGCAGCATCTGTCCTGATCTAAATCCGTTGTGACTGGGAAGAAAATCAAAAGGAGCTCATGTTATAGCTGAGCCAATCGTAAATCCTCACAGGACCATTAGAAGTCAACCGCAAGTCATGATTAAGAGTCTCAATTCACGGGACAAGCAATTCAAATGAAATGTGTGACAAAGCATCACTTTTTCTTATTGATCTTGATACTATGGAATAGCTGGTTGCATACAAGTAGTCTAGGGGCTAGATGTTGTTATGGTTTGATACGAAATAACCCACCGCAGCGATAACCAGCCGCCACCGCAAGAGGGTGCTATCACGACCAATATCAGCGTCAGAACAATGTCTAGGCCAACTCCTGAAATCCCCCGTGGAAAAATGGGGGAAACGGATGCGCGACTTCTGCAGGCGATTACAATTCATTTTCAGTCCCACACATACTACACACAACAAAAGAGCTGACCAGTGAAGTTGCACAAACGTCTTGCTGCATCTTTCACATTACTGGAAGAAATTTGCAAGTTTGCTTTGGAACTACTATGAATTTTTTTGTATGCGCGATGCTTATATCAGGCCAAACAGGTGCGCGCGCATTACACAACCAATACAAATTGGCCTAGACGTTGTTACGACGGGTTCGTGGGTGATATTGGTTGGTCGTGATAGCGCCCTCTCTCGGCGGCTGATTATCGCGCATCAAACCATAACAACATCTAGCCCCTAGACTAGCATACAAGTGTCTATGATATTCGCACAGATTCGGCAATTAATTATGCAAAACAAAAGACTGCGTCTTGACATCCAGATTCTGACATTCAGCGGGCGCCTTCTATCGGGTCTTCGGTAACCCGTTGTTGTATTACAAAAAACATGGCAGCCAAATTCACCAATCAACAGCTTAGTCCACATTTCTGATCAAAAGGATGTCACAGTTTCTAAAGTCGACTCCGCTCGGCTGGCGCGTGGGGTCGCATAAAATTTGCATGCTAGGATATATCAGACGTTCGTTCGTGTGGCTCTGCACACGTAAATGTCTGATTCTCAGACTAGATCCTTGTAAGCAACTGACAAAATCGGTGAAGTTATATCATTATCCTGACATTCAATTTACATTCTAGCATTGAGTAGGAAAGTGTAATGCAACCTGGGATAGAACACTCCTACTGTTATCTCTTGACCATCAATTTACCTTCTAGAATTGAGTGCGAAAGCGTCATGCTCCCATGGGTCAGCATAGTCATTTCATTGTCTTGGTCCACAGATTGCATGGAGTGGCCTGTCCCTGGATCATGCCGATGGCTGGTCAAAGTAACACCTGTGACAAATTAGGGAGAAAATTAACCCTCATCCTTCCAGATATTTCTATAGTCCCCAGGAGTCTTTGAAGGATTTTGAAAACACAAATACACAGAGTGCACCATGTGCCAAACGTTCTGCCCTTCACTGACATAAGTGTGACCTGCCATGGCATAATGAGGAATAACTCCCATCCTTGACCTTGCAGGAAAGTCGGTAGTAAACCCCTGGACTTCTGTGACCTCATTTCCAGAAAAACAGCTTTGAAAAAAAAAAGTTGTGCATTGCATGTTGTACATTGCAAGCTTTATGTGCATGTATACACACACATGGGACAATTTTGTTACATTGTTAACACTTTCTGAGCGCGTGCTAGATGCCCCTTGAATCTTAGATACCTTGGCTACTCAACATACAAAAAACTCAAAATCAATCATGATTTTCCACGCATAAGCAACTTTAGACGCCGATTACTCAAAACAAGGTTTTGGGAGACACTCCTCATTGAGCCTCAGTAGGTCACAACTTTATAAACACTGTATACTCGGTGTTGTCCCGAGTGATTGTGAGAAAAAAAAAAAACTCAGATGGGACTCGAACCCACCACCTCCTGCTTACTAGAGCAGACGTCTAACCACTCGACCACAGAGTTTGCCGGGGTCCACCAGCTGGTTCGAATCTGATTTAAAAGCAGGTACCGCAAACAAACAGTTCATAAGTTTTATAAGGCTTGTTTTTACAATGTTGGCCTACCTCCCAGGATGGAGTGAGCCAGCGAGATGCCATCGTGCTCGGCCATGGAAGAATGCGAGGACATATTCATGTCCGTACCGGCCACCCCAACTGTGGTCATGGTATGCAGGGATGAGTTGACATGCCCAGGGTTTGGCAAGGTGATTTCTGGTTGTACATGTACAAGGAGGAAAAATACACAAATATCTGCAGGTAGATGTGCAACTTGCAAGAAAAAAATTATGGTTTGAGGAGATGTAGTGCAAATGTGACCCGCGTCCCGAAAAAGGGTATTATGTCGCGCTGTGCATTACCATGTAATGGTACACTGAACGTCGTCAAAATGTGTATTTCATTATTTGTCATGAATTCACAGAAATGTTGAATTCGATTCATAAGTGGGGAAAAACTACAATTTTGAGTGCATCGTGCAAAATCTACCACTGAGCCAGCTATTTCAAAGCCTGTTTGTTTTCTCAGCTTTTTAAAGCTACAGTCAATCATTTGCAGCCAGTCCAAAAAGTGACTGACGTAATTATTGTTATATACTTGGATGAAAAAAAGTAAGGGAACTAAACTCCCTGTGAAATGATTCCTTCTGGCAAGCTGTCATTTTGAAGAAATCAACGTAAGAATGCCTTTCCAACGGTGCGTCTTAAGACGCACCGTTGGAAATTTCCGTTAGTAGTTCAGTTTTTTTATTGCGCGCAAACGTTGACACGACCACACGAGCATGGTTGCTATAATTCGTCGGATCAGAGCGTGACATCGCGTAGCTGCAATCGGCTCAGTGAGAACGTGTCTCGGACGCTGAATTCAGGCCCAATTCAAAACATGATTCAGCAACTTTTGATTTGAAATCGAGACCCTAGAATGTTGTTTTTCTTGAAATATACAGCTGAAGCTGAGCTGAAACTTCATCAGGTTAGTTGTTCAGCACCCTTCTTCAGATTTTGAGCACTTTTGTTGCTTCAAACGAACAAAATGCACAACTTACAAATGATGGACTTTACCTTTAATTGAAATCCAAGAAGGTAATTAATTTGCAAATACGTCATATCTCCAGAACAGGAGGAGCTATGAACCTCTATTATATACAAGCACCCAATAAAACCTTACGTTGTGGGCTTCCAACCATGCATATAACTCAATTTCACCTTTTTACAACATGAAACCCTTTTTGTTGGAGTGGGTCACAAATTTACAAATCGGGGACCAATAATTTTACGCTTGCTCCCCAAATTACTGTGCTAAACCAAACTGAATTTGTTTCATCACTCCACATAATTACTTAGATTCATACCCTGAAGAGGGAAAAATGCGTGTCAAAAATCCATCCCAAAAGGGAATAATTTGTCATCAGTCGTGAAGGACTATCAGAATGCTATTTGCCTGGGAACTGATCTTGGGGTAGTTCTTCCCTGATACTACTGACTGGTTTGGGAGATATTGCTTGCTTGCATTGACGCGTTGCACGTGCTGAATGGCCACTTTACTTTCCTGACGAGTTCAAACAACTAACATTGTTATATCGTGTGCTTGGATACTGTACTTTCATTGGTCTAGGACGGCCGTGTGTCCGGACAATAAAAATGTGTCACACACTGAGGGTGATATCGCATTGCGTTCATTGCGCGCGCGTGTGGAACCTACTGACGCATGTGAGAACTGCAATATCAAACCCCCAGTCTCACGTCCGGCCCCAAACATCAAAACCTTCAGTTATCGAAGGTTACATCGCAGTGATTTAACATATTTCTCACGAAGTTACAACCGTTTTTGAGTGATTGGCTTGATATAACAAATCAATTGTTGACTGCTGTGATGAGGGATAAACCGTTTTTAAACCCCTCCGGGCGCACAGCTGCTATGCACCCCTCGGGTGTTAAAAACGTCATATCCCACATCACAGCAGTCAACAATTGTTACATGAAAGAAGCTCATCTGTTTCATAAACATGTATTAGGTGTAATAACAAACACAACTCCAGCATCCCTTACCTGCAAGGCCGATCTCGTGTTGAGCTGCGGCATGCTCAGCCAGCAGCCCGCTCTTGTGTAACTGTATACAATCCTCCTGCCTCTCCGTGCAATCTTCATCCTTGCACACTCCTGGCATCTTGGCATTTCTGCCGGAGGTTGCGGCTCGCATCTTAGACATGCTGTGGTGCCTCCTCTTGTGAGTGTTCCGACTTCCACTCTGGGAGAAGACCTTGAAGCAGATTTCGCATTCGTAGGGTTTCGCTCCTGTGTGAGCAAAAATGACAAAACATTGTATAGTGGAATGTCGCTATACCGAACACCGCTATACACCGAACATTCAGCTATACCGAACATTATCCTTAGCTCCCAATTTTTGTGTGCAAAACCAACCGAACATTGCTGTTGAAAAATGTCAACAGAAGAGCGACAAGTGGCTATTATTATCCCAAGGAATAGAAGGGGAAAGCCACCCATTGCTGTAGGTAGTAAGCTCAAAAACTGTGTAATTACATAATTCAATAGTTGCCAAGTGTTCAAAGTCATCTTTTAGTAACTACCAGGGTGAGCAAGGTGAAGTTCTGAAGGGCGCTATTTATTGAAAAGTGAGTACCAGAGTACCATTGGCTTAAAATCGCTATACCGAACGATCACTATTACGAACATTTTCTGTGGATCCTGCGATGTTCGTTATAGCGGCCTTCCACTGTAAATCGTTTTTTAGTTTAAGCATTTTTGATGTCTGATTTTACCTTTCACAGACATAACTATATACCGTAATTTTCAAAATATAGGCCGCGCGGCTTATAAGCCACAGCACGCAAAAATCTGCAAATTACGATTTGAAGTCGGCGTATTAGCCGCACCGGCGTATAAGCCGCACCGACCGCAGCAGTTTCAATGTTGTAAGGCCTCCAAATTCTGAAGTCAAAAAGCTCTGGACCAGTTCCATTTATGCTACGAAAGCTATAAAAAGGGCCACACAAGTTCAATCAAAACATTTACGGTCGATACTCGTAAAAAAGAATATGGAAATTGACGATGAGAAATAAAAAAACAGTGGAAATATTGGTAATTATTGTTCCCGAGAAAGCACACCCCTTTATTACCACAAATGGCGTGGTCCACACATCAATGTACAGCATGCATGCAAGGAAGATAGATGGGACGTGCTTCCACTGTTTGTTAGTGACTTTCTGGTACCCCAAGTCCGGTAACGATTGATAATTCATTTCAGCAACAGATCTTTTCTTATAGTACCAGTACATTAAATACACATTCAAATCTCATTTTTATTCTTCAAGGCTCGGCGTATAAGCCGCCGTGTGTATAAGCTGCAGTAAACATTTTCATGGGCAAAATCAACGTATAAGCTGCGGCTTATATTCCGAAAATTACGGTAAGCATAATGTCCAGCAGAGCAGGTGTAAGCTTGGGAAACGACAATCAGACTTTCTATGCTGAGGGAAAAGATGAATGAAATAAACAGATGAATAAACATTGAAGTAACCCCTCCACACTCCTTTCTCATATTGAAACTGTTCTATTCCCATTTCGTTTCCTACATGTAGGGATGGTGCATGTACAATTTGGGCTATAAAATGGTGGGTAAATACCTGTGTGAACGCGTTTGTGTTTGCGGAGACTCGAGTGTTCAGCAAAACTCTGGATACACCCATCATGATCGCATATGAATGGCCTCTCTCCTGCAAAATGGACAATGGGAATGAGGACTCAATTAAAAAGATTCAGTTTGAGAGATGAGAGGAAGAGACCAAGGATGATACTCCATGGATGGAAATCCACAGGATGAGGCAGGGACTGAAAACCCAACCTGCATGTCGGCCTGGTAGGGATTTCAATTGGATCAAGAAAGTGGAAAGTGAAGAATATTCATGTGCCAACCAGACTCCTTAAGTTTGTAAAAGGTTGACGTAAATAGAGAGGTTTTGCATGAGAAGGTGTAGTTTCTGCATCTGAAAGGTCACCAGTTTGTATGGTCTTGTGACTAATGTCATACGGAACTCGCAATCCACTTTGCATGTATACGGCAGGGATATACCTCTATCTACACATCAGTCTGAGTCGTGTATGTAGTGCATTGTCAAATTTTCAAATTCCTCTCTTTCAGTTGATCATGTATGATTGGATTGGAAGGGTATGAATTGCTGGTAAGTATGTGCCATTTAACAATTATATAGGATATGAAGTTTTGAACACCTGAGGGGCGCATAGCACCCGAGGCGAAGCTGAGGGTGCTATGCGCCCCAAGGGTGTTCAAAACGCCATATCCCACATCACAGCGGTCAACAATTGTTTTTTATACTTATGTCTTGGATTCTTTGAATTTTGATGTAACTAGAACGGCGAAGCCGCCATGGCTTGCTGTCGAAGGCGGGAAGGGAGGCTGAAGGTAGGGTTGGGGATGGGCATGATGGAAGGGGATCAGGATTCTCGTTGATGTGCCAGGGTGAAGGGGTCAGTTTTTAAATGTCAACATAAAAAGTCAACAGATGACCTAATAAATACATGTGTATATAGGTTAGCCGTCACTGCGTTATGGGGAAGTTTTCCATTGCTAGGGTAATTAGGACCCAGTTGTGGAGCATTTTTGCAGCCCCCACAGTGTCTTCAGGTCCCCATACTTGTATTACCATGGGAGAACTCTTGTGTAGTCCCCACAAATGCAGAACAACAATGGGTATACATGTACATGTACATGTAGACACAGCACCTTCACCACATGCCCCAAACCTTACCCCATCCCCGACCCGCCCCCCCTCCCCCACCCCAACACCTACCCACACCCATCCCATCCTCCCCCTACCCATCCCAACCCTACCCAAACTCCAATCCTTATCTCCTTCCCCCTACCCTCCCCTACCCCAACCCCCTACACCCACTTACCCATCCTCCCCTATCCCTCCTTACCCACCCCTACACATCCCCATCCTAACCCCTACTCAAATCCCTATATCCCGCCCACCCCATTCCCCCTACTCATACCGACCCATACATCCCCACCCGACGCCAACCCCTACTCCGATCCCTATATACTGCCCCTACACCCACCTACCCATCCCCAACCACCCCTACACATCCCCACCCCAACCCCTTCTCAAATCCCTCCCCCTCCCCGACCCCCCTACCCGTCTCCCCTACCTGTCTCCCCCTACCTGTCCCCACCCCACCCCTACATTTGTACACATCCCCACCCCACCCAAACATAGTATTCCAACCCCTATCCCCCACCCAACCCAACCCACCCCACCCTAGCTCCCCTACGCATCCCCCAACCCAAACCCCAACTCCAACCCCTATCCCCCACCCCTAAAACTTAAACATTTTTATCTGAACGCGGACGGCCGGACGTACGCCGGACGGACGGATGGACGAAAATTGGTATTACATAGGCTCGCATCTGCTTCGCAGCTCGCCAAAAATCTTGAAAACAAACAGCATTAAACACAACAATCATGACAATCAAACTCCAACTCACAGGCATGTCACGTGCTCGAAACAGCTGATCGTCTGCTAGTTCACTGCTCCCACTCAAGTGTGAAAACATGGTGAAAATAGCGTGGGTACCAACGATAGAAGCGTTTCACACCGTACGTACAAAGTCATAGCACACTCCCTGTGGGATATCACGTTACCACAGGGAGTTGTGCCATGACTTTTTATAAACTTAACACGTGATCGATCTAGGCCAATGAAAATACAGTATTCAAGACAGAGGTATAACAATTATCTGTGTTTCTAAGCGAGATTGGCTGCAGACACAGGGCTTTCATCAGAGGCTACCATCGATAACAGCTCCCGAAAGGTAATGCACAAGCGTACACGATGCATTATAATGGAATGACTGATAACGATTACTGATAGCATTTTATACACATATCCATTCACATGCACAACCTCTCAAGATTTGATATACATGCACATACACAAACACACAAACGTGTGTTCACCGTCGATCATGGACGTCCTATTGTCCCTCTTCTGTTTGTACTCTAACATTTTACGAAGACTCCCAGATGTTTTGTACATGACCCCAATCGCGGACGTATGCTGGGAATCGTTGACAATATTGTTCTCTTTTGTTCTCTGGCATTTTTCGTCCACGGTTTGAATGCCTGAACACTCGTCGCTATGAGGTATTTGTGGGGACCGAAAATGCTATGGGGACAGCAGAAAGTCCCCATAATTCGGTCCTAATTTGCCTAACAATACAAAACTTCCCCATAACGCAGTGTAAGCCTACCCACACCTACTTGTTCCGTAGTTGTGGGGACAACACACGAGTTGTCCCATGGTACTATGGGGACCGAAGACATTGTGGGGACAGCAGAAAGTCCTAATAACTCGGTCCTAATTTGTCTAACAATAACAACTTCCCCATTACACGGTGACGGCCCGCCCAAACAAACACACCAACCAACCAACTCACCCGTGTGTATTCTCAAGTGATTCTTGAGGTTGCCGGCTGTGGTGAAACTCTTCCCACAATCCTCCTCGGGACATTTGAATGGTTTGTGGCCCGTGTGCGTGCGCATGTGGACGTGCAGGCTCTGTAACGTGTAGAAGGTTTTACCGCAGTCGTCCATGGCGCAGCTATAAGGACGGTCATTGCTGTAAGAAAAGACACGCACGGGGACAATTCCATGAGAAAGTGGACATGGCCGAGAAAAATGGAAAATTTATGAAATCTTTTAAGGGAATATACAACATTTGCGCACAAAACTACCAAATTATTATGAAATACCTTACTGGACTGTAAGTGAATGACAGCATCCTGTAAAAGGACGGCACCTAGTGTGCTGACATTCTCAAGAAAAGTGGTATTTTTGGCCGATCAGTGTTGGAAAAACTGGCTTTGTTCAAATACTGCCCCCAATTTACCATATTTAGTCTGAATTTTTCTGCAATCGATTACACATCTATGAACGTATACAAGCCTGCTAGACTGGTTCCCATGACCTTACAATTCCTTGACGTCTATAAATTGCTCCATTTCAATTTAAGTGGGGTCAGGGAACCAGACTACAAGAACATGATTGTTTTTCTTGGTTTTTCCAGCATCTACGAACACAAAACTTCAAACAAGTTAGTGTAACAATATTTGCTATAGAAAATACTAATCCCCCAAATTCACCCATTTCTGAAAATTACAGCAAAAGCAAATGTTGTATATTCCCTTTAAAACTAAAAGTATCACAACCTCAAATGTGGTATCAAATTAAAGGAACAAGACCTTTCATTCGAGGGAATATGGTTAAGTGTATTTTTTGTCAGCAAAACGTTTTTTGGGGGCTAAAATTTTAGATTTTAGTAAGTCATTTGGCACCTTGGTTTTACTTTCAAAATGCAAGTGATACATTATTGTGAGTTTTTGGTTTTAAAGCAGAGAGAATGGTTCAAATTTTATGCAAAAAATAGTATTTTTTTGTCTGGGGTGTAGTTAAAGGGAAAAAATGTTGCAATCTGACGCCACTTCAGCGGTTGTGTACAAAGTCTATGGAGTGTCAAGAACATTTTCGAAGTAACAAAATTGGAAATGTTCTCAGTCCCATATTCATGTCTTATCATCATTTTTGCAATGACTGACCTTCATTGAGATGCTATACGAAGAAAAAACTGGCGTCAGGTTGCAACATTTTTTCCAGCTTAAGTATCAGTGTAAACCATTTCTGTCTTAGGTATGGTTCAAAATACAGTGCACCACCAAGCGCTTGGCGCACTGTAATTGAACGGCTCTATTTGGGGATTTATAAAAAAAACACTCACGCATGTGTTCTGGTGTGGTATTTGAGATGGGCCGGCCAAGCAAAGCGTTTGTTGCAGCCCTCCACCGAACACTTGAGCACCTTGTTGCCCTTGTGGGTCTCGCAGTGATACCGGTAGTGACTGGACGATTTAAAGCTACGGCCGCATTCTTCGCACTTCAACAGCTTCTCATCTGAAGGGTGACAGAAAAATTTTCAGCATGAATTACGATTCTATTTATTAACCCTAACCCTGCTGAATCCAACAGGATCCAACTATATCATATACCCGATGGAGCCTATTGGATTGAGCACTAAACCCCTAGGGTACATTCCTGATGCAAAATGTTGGATTCAGCTTGCAACTGAACCGCATTATAACGCCAAGTTGGACTCCGTTGGATTCAGCAGACAACTGAAAACAAGACACAGTGGATTGAGCAGGAAACTCTGGTTGGACTCTGTTGGATTTTAGCAGGGTAGTCCTGAGGAACTACTAGGGGGTTAGGGAGCGCCGGGGAGTGTGGCCTAGTGGTTAGGGTTTGTGACTCATGATCAGAGGTCAGGGGTTCGAATCCGGCTTCTGGCCATACGTTATGTCCTTGGGCAAGCCACTTCACCCCACTTGCCTCTCTCCACCCAGGAGTATAAATGGGTACCGGCATTAGCTGGGGGGTAACCTGTGATGGACTGGCATCCCATCCAGGAGGAGTAGAAATATTCTCAGTCATTTCACGCCAAGGAAACGCAAGACAAACGTCAACCTGATGAGTCGTATTGGTTCAGGACAGACTTTACTGCACTTAAACCCTCTGATAAGCAAATGAGAACCATCCAAATAAATTATCCTCAGATTCTTTGCTAACCGGTGCTTCACATTCTCAGATGTACTTCATGCGCAGAATATTTTTATATCCTACTGTCAAGTCGTAAATACCTAAGACAGTTTTACCATTCCTATTGGCTGGCTGGTTTCAAACACTTTTCCAGTGTCGCATGCAATTTGGACTCTTATCAAACTGGTCCCTTTTACCCTTGTTCACATTCCTCACTTAGGCATGCGCAATACTAGCGATGATTCTGTATTTCACAGTCCTCAATTCACACTACACCCGCACCGCTGTGTTCTGCGCCACATCGCGCCAATCTCCAAATAAGAAGATGTTTACGACAACTCGTGAGAGGCAAATACCATAACATAGTAAGAGAGGCCTTTAAAAAAACATGAAGTAGACTTGTATGACAAAATGGTTGTAAATATATCATTTTTGACCGAAACGGTGTTTATGAATTGGAATAAATGTGTTTGGCTGGTAATAGACAAGCCCATTTAAGACCGGCCGGGGCGTGTACGCTAATGATATCCCTCGCCTTCGGCTATAATCAGCGTCCATTCCCCAAGCTGGTCTTAAATGGACTTGTTTTAAACAGCACAAACACATAATTATTCCCTTATTTTAATCAATCACTTGTTCAAGCCCCATACACAATAGAACGATCTATTGCGCCCCTCCCACCCCCCCCCCCCCCAACCCTTGCCAATGATACAGTGCTTGTGATGAGTACAAGTCCAAATATGTTTACCTGAGGTTTGGTTGGCCACACCGAAGGATTTAGCAATACTCTCCTGCGTGGCACAGATGAGATTAGCGTGGGCCAGGTCCCGCAGCCTCAACAGCTGCCTGAAGTCCTGCTGGGGCCTGTCCAGCAGCAGGGACGATGCGGAGGACGGGGAGCAGTCCAAGCCGTTAGCCTTCTGCATCCCGTTGCTGGTGCTCAGCACCAAGATGGGCATGAGGGTGGCCGTGGCCAGAGAGGTCTGGCTGGTGTTGGGGATGTTGACCACCATGAGGCTGGACGGCGGCAGGCCAAGGTTGCTCATGTCTGGGGAGTCTGTCTCGTCTGCACCCACCATCGACTGGTTGTCCAGCTCCCCCTCACTAGGTATGGGAATCCAGGTTAAACTTGAATAAATGTATACAAATTTCACACATATTTCAACCCATTACACTGCCTGTACTGCCCAAAACCGCCCTGCCTGTTAATACCACCACTGTATGGTTCTATGGATACATACAGAGTAGTAAGGGTGCTACTTGGTCAAACATTTCATAAACAGGCAGACCCCTAACCAAGCGATATCTTGGTCACATCTAGTACGAGAGCATATGTAGCAAGGTATGTGGCAGAGGGAGCCCCCTCCTCTCTTTTGTGTTGGTCTATGTGTTATCGGAATCTCAGGAATTCTTTGGCGATATCTAGGGGAATGTGTTAGGTAACAAGTCTGGAGGGTGTATAGGGTATAGGGAAATGGGGGCGGTACCCCTCTGCCAAAAGTCTTACATGATCTATAGACCTTTATCATGCTGCTACCATTTCAGTCATGTTCCCTGTATCCAATAACAGTACTTGTAACTTAGTGAATGATAATGTTTTTTGTGCAACAAGGAACCAGACTATTTTTCCTTCCAGCCTCGCTTTGGTTACGTTGATTTGAATGGGAAATAAATCAAGATGGTCGCAACATGTTAATGGTCTGTAGGAGAGGCACTAAACATTGAATAAACCCTCGTGTCAGCATATTTAAAAGAGCTAACAGAATCAATTGCAAACAATGCGTGTTTGACAGGATACATAGTTGCCAGTCTCCGACAAAACTGCATAAATTAAACTTCCTGGGATGCAATCAAGTACTTGGTTGCTTCTAAAGCTTTGTAAGTAAGTTTAAAGAAAAGCATATCGATGTCAAATACACCGTCTGCAGCTAATAAAAAAACATGAAAAAGCACAAGAACATTCCAGGCCTACATAACCTATTTTCAAATGGCATGTAATGAGAAGTAGAACTATTCTTTGGGGAGGGGCTTTTGAAAAGAATTTAGACGTGGTTCATTTTTAATAAAATAAGTCTGGTAGGTGGCCTTGTATACAAGTATCGTTAGTTTGAAATTTGAGTTTCCTTTAACCCTAACTGCCCTGAATCCTTCAAAATCTTCTTTGCAAAAGTCGAAGAATTTGGAGGATTGAGGTTACATGTATATGGCAAAAGTGCGTTACTTATAGAATGCACTTTGTCAAGGTCTTGGGCTGGACCATGTGTTGTTTTTGCTCAGCCATGCACATATATAGGCCTTGATTATGCTCAAAATCCTCCGTACTGCTCCAGGGTGTCACTGCCCAAGCCTCAATATATTGACAGTCACTGCCGCAGGATTTTGCAGGATTGAGGCAGTGGTCACCCCTCCACGGACCATATTCAAGAAATAATGGAGGAATTTGCAGGATTGAGGCTATTCATGATATTTTTCCATGATGCCAATTGGAGGATTTTTCAGGATGGAGGCTACATCCTAGCAAAAAGGCCTAGAGAGTTAGGGTTAAACGTCTGGAAAGTTTGTCAGATTGTGATATATTTTTGTTTCAACGTATAAATGTCACATCTTTACCCCTCGCATTCCGCGAAGGAGTGCTCCATCCGTCCCACCCCCATGGCCGTCATCTCCCCTGCTTCCTCACGTTCATCCAGTCCATCGCCGACGTTCAGCCCCAGGTTGGTCTGGGAGATGTCCAGTGAGGATGCCACCACGCCGTGATTGGTCAGCATCAGGGAGCTGGCCACGGTATCCTCCAGCATGCCGGCCGAGCCGCAGGCGATGGAGGTGGCTAGACTGTCCAGCGACGAGGCCAACACATCACTGGTGTTTATGACGGGATCCATCCCTGATACTGTTTGCCAACACCAACCAAAAACCTATTGATAATGCACCAAATAAAATGAAGTGAAAAAAAAAATTAATACAGGCCTCAACCTTAAGTGGCCCACGCATTGTCTATAGACGTTCATACAAACATGTAGGCTGGCATGGTCAGCTAGCTGTGATCGTGAAAAAGTAGTCACGTGACCGCGCACGTAATGAATGCTGCAGCGGCAAATTTGGTATCGCACTTACGATCCGGACACTCCTCATGTCCGGATCGTAAGTGCAATACCAATTTGCTGATGCAGTGTTCATTACGTACACAGTCACAGTCATTACGTACACACCGTGCCAGCCTACATGTGTTTGTATGAACGTCTATAAACAATGCGTGGGCAGACTAGAGATGGCCGCGTTATTTGATCGTTGCTGTCTGGTGTCTGTGCGAAACTGGTGGAATTTCACGGATTTTCAACCCTAAAAATAATCGTGAGTATCACTGAAGCCCCATTACTTCATCTTTGACATGTGGAGAAGCCAGTAGGTGCTTTAAAAGGTATTTTTGTCAAGTATTTTGTGTGATTTTTGGCAACTTTTGAGGGGAATGGTCTGGAAAAATGACAATCTCCGAAATGAGGATTTATGCTTCGTGGGGCGCTGGTCAACAGACCATATCCCAAATGTCAAAAAAGGAGTTCTAGTGCCCCAGTTAGTGGGTCTAGGTATGAAGTATGGATTATGGAATCAGGGTTGGGATAATACCAGAGCCTAGAGAAAATGGACTGTTTTGGAATGCACTGGGGGATAAGGTCCCGATCTAGTGTTTTTAACGTAGTTGTGCCTCCAGCTCTAAATGCGATAAACATTGGAGCTGGAGTTACTGTAGAAACAGGTGGACTCCCTAGTCGTAGTGCAATGAAGACGTCGTCCAACCTGGGCTAGAGTTACTATAGTCCGAGTAACTAGGACTCTACGGATCGCTTTTTTTACATTTGGACCTGGTCTGGCGATCGCCCGACCATGTCCAAATGTTAAAAAAAGCGATCCGTAAAGTCCAAGTTACTTGGACTAGGGCCGCGCCTTAGCCCCATAAATGTGGCCAATTTACTGGACTTGGTACAAAAACATGTAGAACTTTGTCAAATTTTGATTGTCACATTTAAGGCTCAGTTTGTGGTTTATTTTTGCTTTAGAAGCATACTCACCCTCTTTATAGGCAAATCAGAAAGTGCTGCCTTTTTCACAGGTTCAGCGGAAAGGGCATATTTTTCATCATTTTAGCAAAAAAAACGACCAAATCCAGCGATGTTTGTTCTGCGCATATTACGTGAGTATGTCATGAAGTGTAGTACGGAGTTTGGGGGCAAACTGTGCAGCGGTTCTGTGGGAAATGTCTGCATTTTGATGGACGTTTTTGTACTTAATTAGTGTTTTGTGCTGAAAACGATTTTGCGGGGTTCTTAATCTATGAGGCTCCACTACGTACTACGTGGAGCCTCATAGACATAGTTCTAGAAGTAGGCCTAATTGTAGTCATGTATTTTCAACAATTTAAATTCCATAATCATAAATGCAACGATGTACAAGTTCAAAAGTTTCAACGATAAATTAAAAAAAAAACACGATCCATTTTGCGACCGATGTGTAGTGCAATGCTGCGGCATGCACTTCCAACCACTTGTGCTACGCTACGGCTGCTAGTCTATCATTGTCTATACTCACGCGTACGAGTTGGCCCGCGTACGAGTTATTTCGCACACGAGTTGCCTTGCGTACGAGTTGGTCCGCGTACGAGTTGTCCTGCGTACGAGTTGGCCCGTGTACGAGTTGACCTGCGCCGCCTACGTCCACAACCTTCCACTTACTCCTAGAACTATGAGGCTCCACGTAGTGGAGCCTCATAGGTTCAGAAGCCCGCAAAATTGTTGTCAGCACAAAACACTAATTAAGTACAAAAACGTCCATCCCAAGCAGGCCGTTTTTCACAGAACCACTGCACAGTTTGCCCCTAAACTCCATACAATACCTCATGACATACTCACGTTATGTGCACCCAACAAACATCGGTGGATTCTGTCTGTTTTTCGGCAAAAATGATGAAAAATATGCCCTTTCCGCACTGAGCCAACCTAACACTTGAAACGAGCACGCGTGCAGAATGATCGCAGTCATTTTCGGTTCGATCGCTCGGAGCGCGCCGCGGGGGGTATGGTGTAGGAGCGGAACGATAGTATGCACATGCGTACAAGTGCAAGTACGTACCCCCCGCGGCGCGCTCTGAGCGATCGAACCGAAAATGACTGCGATCATTCTGCACGCGTGCTCGTTTCAAGTGTTAGGTTGGCTCAGTGCGGAAAGGGCATATTTTTCATCATTTTTGCCGAAAAACAGACAGAATCCACCGATGTTTGTTGGGTGCACATAACGTGAGTATGTCATGAGGTATTGTATGGAGTTTAGGGGCAAACTGTGCAGCGGTTCTGTGAAAAACGGCCTGCTTGGGATGGACGTTTTTGTACTTAATTAGTGTTTTGTGCTGACAACAATTTTGCGGGCTTCTGAACCTATGAGGCTCCACTACGTGGAGCCTCATAGTTCTAGGAGTACCTTCCACTTTCCAGGTGTTTTTACGTCATGGAACAGAAACAGAAACCCACATCAACTGCCTTTGCGGAGGCTTACTATTCAACTTACCTGCAGATTTGTTTGATTGCTTCGAATACCCGCGGCACCGAGGGCTTTGTTAAGTTTTATCTCGTCATGCCATGGTCAACCAGGCTGATCTTGGCACGAAAATTGGGCCGGATTTTCGGCTGGCCGGATTTTCGGTTACGCACTATTTTTACGGCGGCGCGCCGCCGTGAAGATTATCACTACGGTGGCCCTTAACAGTCATTGCAAATAAACCTTAGGACAAAAGGATTTATAAAGGAAGTTTCACTTCTTATCACGGTTAATTACCTTAAATAACTGAAACTGTTGTTTATTCGACTCTAAAGTAAATCGTAATGAAAACTGTGGCAATTTATTTTCAGAATTGGGAATGTTAATGTTATAAATTTTAAGGTTACTGAATAAAGGTTCTGCCCTATAGCCGATGAGAGGGCGCTATATCCGCCAGACTGCCACTTAAGTAGTGGTGCGTTGCGGGAAGGACCGGGTCTTAGGCATGAGAATCCTGTTTAAACAGGAATTCCTATTTGTTTTTTGCCAAAATGTCCCGGGGTGCCATTTTCCTTTCCTTTTTTTTCATAAAAATTAATGCTCATACGGCCCGGCTGCGATTTTCTTTTCCCAAACTACCTGGTTGTTTAGCGCCCTCTACGATACTTTTATGACACGTACGTACGCAGGTATTATTAAATGTAAAATGATTCTGTACCCTCCTCAATGCCAGAAATGTCCCGTTCCAATTGCATACACGGGTTAAGGGACATCCAAAGTGTATTCTATTCGCGACCCGAATAAATCGGTATTGAAACACAGTCAGCCCAATTAAATTAATCAGATAGTTGATAATAAGGATACAAAAGACCGGTTTTTGCAAAGAAAATACGGATATCATATTTTGAATTGATTTTGTACAATCCTTAATATCCGAAATGTCCCGTTGCAATTGCATATACGGGTTGAGGGACATCCAAAGTGTATTTTATTCGCGCCCCGAATAAATCGGTATTGAAACAGAGTCAGCCCAATTAAATTAACCCGACAATTGATAATTACGATACAAAAGACCGGTTTTTGCTAAGAAAATACGGATATCCCATTTTGAAATGATTTTGTACCATCCTAAATGTCAGAGATGTCCCGTTCCAATTGCATACACGGGTTAAGGGACATCCAAAGTGTATTCTATTCGCGCCCCGAATAAATCGGTATTGAAACAGAGTCAGCCCATTTAAATTAATTCAACGATTGATAATTAACGTACAAAACAGCCGTTTGCCAAAGAAAATACGGATATCTCATTTAGAAATGATTTTGTACCATCCTAAATGTCCAAAATGTCCCGTTCCAATTTCATACACGGGTTAAGGGACTCTGAAAGTGTATTCCATTCGCGCCCCGAATAAATCGGTATTGAAACACAGTCAGCCCAATTAAATTAATCAGATAGTTGATAATAAGGATACAAAAGACCAGTTTTTGCAAAGAAAATACAGATATCCCATTTTGAAATGATTTTGTACTATCCTAAATGCTCGAAATGTCCCGTTCCAATTGCATACACGGGTTAAGGGACATCCCAAGTGTATTTTATTCGCGCCCCGAATAAATCAGTATTGAAACACAGTCAGCCCAATGAAATTGATCCCACGATTGATAATTGATGTACAAAATAGCCGTTTTCCAAAGAAAATAAGGACATCCCATTTGAAATGATTTTGTACCATCTTAAATGATTGAAATGTCCCGTTCCAATTGCATACACGGGTTAAGGGACTCTCAAAGTGTATTCTATTCGCGCACCGAATAAATCGGTATTGAAACAGAGTCAGCCCAATTAATTAAAATCCAACGATTGATAATTAACGAACAAAACAGCCGTTTTCCAAAGAAAGTACGGATGTCTCACTTTGAAATGATTTTGTACCATCCTAAATGTCCGAAATGTCCCATTCCAATTGCATACACGGGTTAAGGGACTCTCAAAGTGTACTCTATTCGCGCCCCGAATAAATCGGTATTGAAAAACGTGTCAGCCCAATTAAATTAATCCGACGATTGATGATTACCATGCAAAACAACGGTTTTCCCAACAAAATATGGACATCCCATTTTGAAATGATTTTGTACCATTCTAAATGTCCGAAAAGTCCCGTTCCAATTGCATACACGGATTAAGGGACATCCAAAGTGTATTCTATTCGCGCCCCGAATAAATCGGTACTGAAACAGTGTCAGACCAATTAAATTAATCCCACGATTGATAATTACGATACAAAACATCCGTTTCCCAAAGAAAATACAGATATCCCATTTTGAAATGATTTTGTACCATTCTAAATGTCCGAAAAGTCCCGTTCCAATTGCATAAACGGGTTAAGGGACATCCAAAGTGTATTCTATTCGCGCCCCGAAAAAATCGGTACTGAAACAGTGTCAGACCAATTAAATTAATCCCACGATTGATAATTACGATACAAAACAGCCGTTTCCCAAAGAAAATACGGATATCCCATTTGAAATGTATTTTGTACCATCCTAAATGCTCGAAATGTCCCATTCCAATTGCATACACGGGTTGAGGGACTCTCAAAGTGTATTCTATTCGCGCCCCGAATAAATCGGTATTGAAACAGAGTCAGCCCAATTAATTAAAATCCAACGATTGATAATTAACGAACAAAACAGCCGTTTTCCAAAGAAAATACGGATGTCCCATTTTGAAATGATTTTGTACCATTCTAAATGTCCGAAAAGTCCCGTTCCAATGGCATACACGGGTTAAGGGACATCCAAAGTGTATTCTATTCGCGCCCCGAATAAATCGGTATTGAAACAGAGTCAGACCAATTAAATTATTCCCACGATTGATAATTAACACACAAAATAGCCATTTTACAACGAAAATATGGATATCCCATTTTGAAATGATTTTGTACCATCCTAAATGCTCGAAATGTCCCGTTCCAATTGCATACACGGGTTGAGGGACATCCCAAGTGTATTCTATTCGCGCCCCGAATAAATCGGTATTGAAACAGAGTCAGCCCAATTAAATTAATCCGACGATTGATAATTAATGTACAAAATAGCCGTTTTCCAAAGAAAATACGGACATCCCATTTGAAATGATTTTGTACCATCCTAAATGTCCGAAATGTCCCGTTCCAATTGCATACACGGGTTAAGGAACTCTCAAAGTGTATTCTATTCGCGCCCCGAATAAATCGGTATTGAAAAACGTGTCAACCCAATTAAATTAATCCGACGATTGATGATTACCATGCAAAACAACGGTTTTCCCAACAATATATGGACATCCCATTTTGAAATGATTTTGTACCATCCTAAATGTCCAAAATGTCCCGTTCCAATTGCATACACGGATTAAGGGACTTCCAAAGTGTATTCTATTCGCGCCCCGAATAAATCGGTATTGAAAAACGTGTCAGCCCAATTAAATTAATCCGACGATTGATGATTACCATGCAAAACAACGGTTTTCCCAACAAAATATGAACATCCCATTTTAAATGATTTTGTACCATCCTAAATGTCCGAAATGTCCCGTTCCAATTGCATACACGGATTAAGGGACTTCCAAAGTGTATTCTATTCGCGCCCCGAATAAATCGGTATTGAAACAGAGTCAGCCCAATTAAATTTATCCGACGATTGATAATTAATGTACAAAATAGCCGTTTTCCAATGAAAATACGGACATCCCATTTGAAATGATTTTGTACCATCCTAAATGTCCGAAATGTCCCATTCCAATTGCATACACGGGTTAAGGGACTCTCAAAGTGTATTCTATTCGCGCCCCGAGTAAATCGGTATTGAAAAACGTGTCAGCCCAATTAAATTAATCCGACGATTGATGATTACCATGCAAAACAACGGTTTTCCCAACAAAATATGAACATCCCATTTTGAAATGATTTTGTACCATCCTAAATGTCCGAAATGTCCCGTTCCAATGGCATACACGGGTTAAGGGACATCCAAAGTGTATTCTATTCGCGCCCCGAATAAATCGGTATTGAAACAGAGTCAGACCAATTAAATTATTCCCACGATTGATAATTAACACACAAAATAGCCATTTTACAACGAAAATACGGATATCCCATTTTGAAATGATTTTGTACCATCCTAAATGCTCGAAATGTCCCGTTCCAATTGCATACACGGGTTGAGGGACATCCCAAGTGTATTCTATTCGCGCCCCGAATAAATCGGTATTGAAACAGAGTCAGCCCAATTAAATTAATCCGACGATTGATAATTAATGTACAAAATAGCCGTTTTCCAAAGAAAATACGGACATCCCATTTGAAATGATTTTGTACCATCCTAAATGTCCGAAATGTCCCGTTCCAATTGCATACACGGGTTAAGGAACTCTCAAAGTGTATTCTATTCGCGCCCCGAATAAATCGGTATTGAAACAGAGTCAGCCTAATTAATTTAAATCCAACGATTGATAATTAACGAACAAAACAGCCGTTTTCCAAAGAAAATACGGATATCCCATTTTGAAATGATTTTGTACCATCCTAAATGTCCGAAATGTCCCATTCCAATTGCATACACGGGTTAAGGGACTCTCAAAGTGTATTCTATTCGCGCCCCGAATAAATCGGTATTAAAAAACGTGTCAGCCCAATTAAATTAATCCGACGTTTGATGATTACCATGCAAAACAACGGTTTTCCCAACAAAATATGGACATCCCATTTTGAAATGATTTTGTACCATCCTAAATGTCCGAAATGTCCCGTTCCAATTGCATACACGGATTAAGGGACTTCCAAAGTGTATTCTATTCGCGCCCCGAATAAATCGGTATTGAAACAGAGTCATCCCAATTAAATTAATCCGACGATTGATAATTAATGTACAAAATAGCCGTTTTCCAAAGAAAATACGGACATCCCATTTGAAATGATTTTGTACCATCCTAAATGTCCGAAATGTCCCGTTCCAATTGCATACACGGGTTAAGGGACTCTCAAAGTGTATTCTATTCGCGCCCCGAATAAATCGGTATTGATGAAACAGAGTCAGACTAATTAATTTAAATCCAACGATTG